GTCAGTAAAGTATTTCTTTGAATTTATGCTTACAACTTTCCAGTTCCTTCAAATTTTCATCATGGGAACTTCTATGATAAGTACTTTCTTATAAGTATCTTAATATGTTTTCTTGTTTGTCTCTTTTTTACTTTTAACAAAAACTTCTTGGTAGTTTTTAAAGGACAGTCAGCAATCTTGGACATTCATGCCCACAAAAATCTGAGTGCCAAAAGGACATTTTTTTCCTTTGACATCACTATTTTAATTTACAACAAAGATAACAAACACTTTATTTCTTAAATTGTTTATTTACACTATTTATTTATTTATTATATTGTTTAATGAGATTATTGGAAAAATATTGGCTAATTGCTAATCAATTCAAACTTTATAAAATGGTAAATAATAAGGATTTCTTTATAGTTGGTGAACATATTTTAATAATTTAGTTTATAAATTTATGAATAAAAAAATTGTATTAGTTTTTAGAATGTTTTAAGTATAAAATTATTCTTGTAAATAAACAATCTAATTAATAGTGTTTAACATTTTTGTTGTAAATTCTCAAGAACAAAGAAAATGTATAAATTCACTTTTATCATATGTTTAGGTTTTACTATAATTCTAATCATCACTTTTTAAAGGAATAAATATTGCCAATGAGTGGAGGTAGAGAAAATAATAGCAGTGTCAATAACTGTCCTTTTGACAATCGTCTTTTGTTTTTTGTTTTTTGCTAGCATGAAGGTCAAAGATTGCTGAACAGTCTTTTCAATTTAATTTTTAATAAAATTATAAAAAATTATCTTACAGAATTAGTTCAAAAGTACTTTATAAACAAAGCATTTTTAAACTTGTTAATTTGATTACATTAATATATTATCACTGTGTAACTTTTGTCGTTGGTTAGCAACTTTTATTTCCTATTTGCTTACGTCTAGAAAGTATGAAAAGTGGCTAATATTTCCTTCAAACTATGCTTTTGTGTACCAGGATAATGATATTTCTGAAATTTACCTATTCCCATTGGGAAAACTGGCAAATGTGAACATACTCATTCACACAAAGTAGGAACAAAATCATATATGATTCAAAAGTAGCATTTATTTATTCTAGGATTGTATAAAAAGTTTAGAAGTGAGTCATTTTTTGCAATTTACTTTTTATACTGTAGATTACTTTCACAAATCAGCCCCCAAATATAGTCTCCCATCATGTTTTCATTATATAATCCTTGGTAGCAGCATTCAAAGTCTAGTATATCCTGGTGGAAGTGCTTGCCTCCATCTTCTCTTTGAATTTATCAAGATTATCATCAAGGATATGGACTTTGTGCGAAATCCTGCAGGTCTTTTGCCATAGTTCTTCACCAGGATATCAACAAGCTCACAGAGTTTTTGGACTTATGATTCCCCAAGAAGTCTTGAACTGCTGCAACAAAGCTGTTCAACACTGCTTTTTTCATCTTAGTGAGCTTCTTGTGGAATTCCTTGAAACTCTATGATCTTCTCTATTTGTGGTCGAACAACATGGCTTTGACTTTTGCCACAGACAGCTGAGGGAAAAAATCTTGAAGGTACTTGAAGGCTGCAGACTCCTTATCTAGAGCTGTGACAAATTGTTACCTAAAGCCCAATCTTGGAGGTAACAGTGGCTCCCATTTCATGTTGTCCCTCCTCACACTGAACTCTGTCAGCTGTGGCCAGTCCCGTCTGTGGTAGTGTGCCACTGTGTTCCTTGTTTCTGGCAAAGATAATATGGAAACTTGGTAAAGCCACCTTGGAGACTGTTGTGGCCTGTTTAGGGGCCAGAAAGAAAGACACGGAAGACGAAGGTTGGTTGAAAAAGTATATTGAAGATATATACAAAACAATACTGTTGTAATAAGTAGATTAGCACTGCATCTAAAACTCCACTCCACTTCATACTCTGTGCTCCCGTCCGACTCTCGCAGTTTGTATTTATGAGAGAAGGAAGAGTTCATTATACTGTAAGAGGGTTTACCACAGCAGAGACCCATCAGAAAGGCCACCATTTTGAAGTCTCCAATAATCTCACAACTGTACTCTTCATATTTCAATGCATCTAGCAAAATCTTGACAATGCTGTATCTCTCTTTGAGCTTCACCGAGTGAGCCAGGGAAAGTGATGAGGGAGACATGTATCTGTTATGAAACAGCACAGCTTTGAGGATCCTGGATGAGATGTTGATGAAGAGGTATCACTTGCTAGAGTTGCAGGTGATTCCAATTGACTTGAACACATTGGTCACATTGTGGAAGAAACAAAGCCTATCATGACAGTTGAAAAAGCTTGAAAAACACTGGTGATGCTTTCTCTGACCTATGACTTGCACACTTTCATCTAACAATATAAAAAGCTCAGCATTGGGCTTTGTGAGACCAAGATCTCTGATCAGGTCATAAGGTCTTTTTGGTATGGAGTAGTATTTCTCTCCTCAACTGGACCAATGACTTTATCCTTTTCTGAATTGCTGTTCTCTCTTTGGAGGAGTGGGTATGGGGAACTGAGTGTAGTGTGGCACTGGGGTGATGGATGACAGAAGGTCTGGATATATGATAGCAAATACATTCTTACCAGCTTGACATTTAGAAGGGTCCACCATGCAGAAAAAGCAATTGCTTGAATGGTCAGTTGGTTCCCTCTAAATTCATGAGATTGTGAATTTCATGGCTCTATTTTCTGCTCTGACCAAGTCATAAAAGCAAAGTTCGAAGGGAATAATTGTCATTTCTTTTGCTTTCTAGATAAAAACAATTAAGAAATAACACTTATTGACCAAAGACAAAAAAGTCAAAATTTTGTTACACAATGTTATGTATACAATTATTCACTAAATAATGTAGAATATATTTCTAGTTACTTCATATTGCTTATTTGTTTACTTATTCTAAAAGAATAAAACTTCTAAAAAAGTACATTTTGGAGTAAAAGAGAAAAAAAAATTTAAAAGGGCCTAACATGTGTTCTATTTTGCATAATTCAATTTTTTTAAAAAAAAGGAACCTAACATTGCAAAAAGTTTTTGTATCAGAATATTGTCTTCTGTCTATATTTCTGAGATGATTCATTCTAACTATTTATATCGTTCAAACTATTGTCCTCATCACAATGTTTTGACTTGTACACTCCAGCCTTCTTCAGGTGATATACGTTGGAAATTCAAACTGAATTCTTTATTTAGTCCCCTGAGTTGATTGTTCTAGTTCCACATGCCATGCCTTTTCTGGATATCTTAGTTTCAGTTAAAAACAAGAGAGAAACAAAAGAGTTATTAAAGGAAAATAACTGAAACAAAGATTTCTAGAACAGGCATGGCATGTGGAACTAGAATAATCTACTCTAGTGGACTAAATAAAGGGTTCATTTTGAAATTCCAATTTATATCACCTGAAGAAGGCAGGAGTATACAATGGCTGAAACATTGTGAATATGACAATAAAGATGTGGACAGCTGTCTGAACAATGTAAATAGTGTAAATAGAATATTGTCTATGTCATTCTTATAGAGATTAGTTTGCTCATTTCAAAAATGTAAAAACATGTAAAAAGTTTGTATGTCAAATTACCTCCTTTTAAAATCACTTTGAGGAATTCTATCTTTATAGCAAACGGTTTAAGATTGACAGTTTCTATATTAGTAAAACTAGTTTGAATCCCTTAATTTTTCAAGTGAGCATCATGCTTTACTAATTTTTGTATATATTTGAATTGAACTCATTTGAAATAAAAATTTATTTCTAAAAAAATGCTAATTTTATATTGCTAATTTTCTTTTAATAAAAATAGTATCCAACTGGCAAAGTTTAACAAATGTACTGAAAAAAAAAAAAAGCAAATTTGTCAAAAGGACAGTTTTTCTTTTCATACTGCTAATGCTGTATACTTCCTCTTTTTGTGTGTGCATTTGTTAAACTTTGGTAAATTATTCTTGCAAATAAACAATCTAATTTTTTGTTGTCAATTCTCAAAAAAAAAAAAATGTATAAATCTAGATGCTTTCAAACTACTTACTGAATTTATGTAGCAAGAATAAATGAAAGAAATGCCTGGAAAATCTGTTTTTCAAAAATTATAATTACAGTCACTTGCTATGTGTTTATTTAAATTTTTTATGTTCTGTTATTCTCTATTTTTATATATTTATAAATAAATTTGTTTTCATAGTTTTTTTTTTTATATGGTAAATAATAAAAATTGTATTGTAGTTGGTTCACATATTTTTATAATCTTGTAAATATAAAATTATTTTGTAAATAATGTTTGGATTTTATAAAATAGTTTTTTGAAATAATAAAAATTGCCAAGCAATTATACTGTAATTAGGTGTCAAGAGACAAAAAAACGTTATTTTGACACCTTTTGTTTTTCGGATACATTTATTAAACTTTATCATCCAACATTTAATTTGTAATTAAATATTTATTAAATTTCGATTTATTTAAAAACAAAAGAAAAAAAGGCCATTCCATATTTTTACACTCACCAAAAATTTCTTAATGCTTTTTTTTTTCTTTTTATATATCAAAATAAAATTTTTACTTATAGCTATTGTTCTAAACATCTGAAATTTGATTTCTTTACATCTGACTCATATGAAAAAAAATGACTGCTGTATAATGTACAGTGTATTCCAGTTTATTATACAGGGTAGTCTGAAAGTCTTATCACTCCTACCAAAAAACAATGAGAACAATAGTAATACAATAATGCTAAGCACATTGGATTCAGTTTATTCCCTTCTGTTGACACTGTCACACACTGAGAGGGTCTGTATGAACACCATCATTTTCATGGCACAAAATGAAATAGAAAATTATATTATGTAGGTGTGACAAGACTTTTGGATCACCCTGTAGATAGTGGTTTCACATGTTCATCTGATTTGGATTAATATAGAATAAAAAGTGTTATCAAAGTTTGATTAATTTATTTTTTGTTTTTGTTTTTGTTTTTTTGTTTTTGGTTTTAAAAAAAAAATGTTTGTTTTCTCAAAGGAGATGAAGAGAGAACTGAACACATCCATCACATGCAACAAGTTCCAAGTTTCTTTCCTTCTTGCATGTGTGTTGCTGTCCTTCCAATCCTTCACTTAATGGATGACTTTGATGTTAATGCTGATGGAATCTCAGGTAATTTTTAAATTTATTCATTAATTTAAAATTAGAAAATATAAAGATTTAAATCTTATATATGGCTACGCAGTGAATAACTTACACTTTTAAGCTCACTCAATACAAGGTTCAAGAGCTACTCAAGATAGAAGTTTACTGAATGAGGAGTGTGATTTGAATGTAAAAAGAGGTGATAGGAAGTAAGGATTATGATGAAAAAGAAGATAGATAATGATTGAAATGAGATTCCTTATTCAAACTATTTCTAAAAGTAACAAAAGAAAGAAATTCTTTACAGAAACACCACTGGTCAAAACACTCTATTATAATTGTGCTTGTTCCTCCTTTTGTTAGTTTGCACGACCATTAAGCCCTGCCAGTACCTCATAAATAATGGACTATTCTATTTTCATAATGTAGAAAGAGAGGAAAAGAAACTACTTGGTTTCAGCGAGAAAATGAAAGAATAAGAAAGAAAGAAGGGAATATAGAAGTCTTTAAAGGCTGTTTCAGTGAAATAGAAAAGTTGTTAATTTCAAATCTTTTCATTTGTACCCACTTCTTAAAATAACAACCTGCATTCATATTTATGATTGTTATTACAATATTTTGTTAAAGTTGTTAAGCTCAAATATTTAACCATGTGATAGGGGAACTTTTATGAATATTTTATTATCGCAGAATTCACCATTTAAGATACATCAGAAAATTCAAATAGGAGAATTGTGAAGTTTTCATAGGTTAAAACTAATCAATGTTAAAATTACTACTGTATATTAAGATAAATAGTTTGGTGAAGATTTAAAACTATGACTATCAGTATTATATAAGTGCTTTATGCAACTTTTATGTAACTTGGTTCTTAACAATTCAAATATGTGAAGTGGTGAGACTATGAATTATCTCCTCTACACAAGAACAAGCAGTTGTCATATTCAGTTTGACTATTTACTTGATTATTGAAAACTATGATATATGATTTTATGATAATTTTTCACATTGTAAGATATCAAAAACAAACCGAAAAAGTTTTCTTCTCTAGCTGCTAATATAACAAGGTGCCATTGATCAGGTGCTCTCAAGGAGAGATGCCATTGATCAGTTGCTCTCAGGGAGAGGTGCCATTAATCAGGTGCTCTCAGGGAGAAGTGCCATTGATCAAGCACTCTCAGGGAGAGGTGCCATTGATCAGGCGTTCTCAGGATGAGGTGCCATTGATCAGGCGTTCTCAGGATGAGGTGCCATTGATCAGGCGTTCTCAGGATGAGGTGCCATTGATTAGGCGTTCTCAGGGAGAGGTGCCATTGATCATGCGCTATCCAGGTAAGGTGCCATTGATCAGGCGCTATCCAGGTGAGGTGCCATTGATCAGGCGCTCTCAGGGATTCATTATAAACTTGACACAGTGTTGATAGTAGACATAGAAAGGAAACTACAGGAACTTCTACAGAAGGTAGTAAAGGAAAGTGAGAAGAAAGGACTAATCATCAATTGTAAGAAGAGCAAAAGGAACAGCTAATTGGAGATATCAAAATCAAGCCAATACAACAATTTGAATATCTAGGGAGTGTTTTAACAGAAGACAGAAAGTGTGACACTGAAATCCCAAGGCACATTGAGATTGCAAAAGATGCCTTTCAAAAACTAAGCAAAGATACAGAAAAATTTTATTAGAAACAAAGAGTACTAAACTGTTATGTAATATTGATCCTCCTATATGGTAGTGAATGCTGGACAATCTCCTCACAGATGAAGAAGAAACTTGAAACAACAGAAATGTTCTACAGAAGGATGCTGAGAATGCCATGGATGGAACATATGAGCAGCTACAAAGTTTTACAGAAAATGGAAATAAAAATATACTTAACATCAGAAAGAATCAGTTGAAATTTCTAGGGCCCATAATGAGGAAAGAGGGCTTGGAAAATTTGATACTCACAGTACATATTGAATGCAAGAGGAACAGAAGAAAACAGCACTTAACCTATCTAATGATCTTGTGTAAATGATTTGACAAAACAAGGATTATGAGAGATAGCAAAAAGACAAAATTTATTAAGAGCTACAGAGGATAGGAAATTGTGGAGAGCTATGATCACTAACATCAAGAAGGAATGTGGCACATAGAAGTAGTAGTAGTACTAGGTGTTTGGTTTGGTCTTAGTGAGGAAGTTTAGGCTTATTCATGTCAAAGTTGAACAGACAACTCAGAAGTATTTTTGTAGTCCTTGATGTTGGTCATGCCACTCATGTTGTCCATGAAAATTAAACTGATTTGTCTAATTGCAAGTTTTACTCTTTTTGTTGCCATCATAGTGCCTGATAATCATTTCCATCATGATGTCAGTGATTGCCAGTTGGTTGCCATTGTGGCTACTGTAAACCTCATTTTAAATTCTTTTTTCCCCACCAGTTCAGACTTTTACAACTAGGACTTGCCATGTTACTTTTATATAGTCATATCACCTCTGTATTCCAAAAGTAACAAGGAAGTTCCACTCATTGCTTTTTTCCCTCGAACTGCTACTTTATGGAACAGACTCCTGCATGGATGCTTATCTGAACACTACAATCTTAAACTCTTCAAGTTGTTGGTTAGTTGTTATCTATCCTACTTATCTTCACATCCTACTACCTTCTTTTCCATTCATATCATTCACCTCACTCATAATTATTTTGTCAGTAACTCTATCTTGTGTGGCTCTCGGGGCTTGTATTGGGTAAACTTTAGTATATAAAAAAAAATAAGACACAGGGTGATTTTTGAAAGAGTTTGGGGAAATAATATGAGGATATGATATTTAACTTCTATGCACATCATTATTTTGGTTTATAATCATAACTGACTAATTTCTAATCGTATATTTAATTCTGTGGTCATCAAGGTATTAGTGTGTCAAACAGGTGTGTTGAGATGTTTGTCTAGTTCCAATAATCTAACTATTGAGTTTAATCTTCCTACTATTCTATCATTGAACAGTTATTTATTAGATTTATGGGATCATGCTTTATTTCCATTAGCTACATTCCACCAGTTCAGACTTTTACAACCAGGACTTGCCATGTTACTTTTATATAGTCATATCACCTCCATTTCCTCTGTATTCCAAAAGTAAGGAGGAAGTTCCACTCACTGATTTTTCTCAAGAATTGATTTGTAGAATAGACTCCCACATGGATGCTTCCCTGAACACTAAAATCTTAACCTCTTCGAGTAAAGTGTCCATCATTATCTATCCTTCTTGTATTTACTTTCTGCCATCCCCTCTTTACATTCATATTACACACCTCATTCAATAACTGTAACCCCCTACCTTGAGTGGCTCTTGACCTTTGTATTTGGTGAACTTGGGAGTGGTCAACCAATGAATCTATTTTGGTACAAAGACAATATCTATTAAACTCTGTATCAGCCTGTGTGATGTTCATACACACATATTTTTAAGATCTATCCAAAATAAGATTTTTATGATTTTCATTATGGTGTTGCATTTTTTTTTTATTTGTTCACCCAATACAAGGCTCAAGAGCCACCCAAGGTAGGGGATTACTGTATGCGGTTGTTGTAAAGGCATAAAAGAAGGAAGTAAGAAATAGATATTATGAGGATATGTAGGATAGGTAACAGTTAGCCTCGACTTAGGTTAAGATCATAGTGATCAGGGAAGTATCCTCTTCAGAGTCTGTAATACAATTCTAGGGAAGAAGCTGTCTGAGTGACACTTCCTCCTTACCAATGGAATACAAAGGGAATGTAGATGATTTGATCCTGTGTATGTGGCATGGCACATCCTACTTGTAAAGGTCTGAAGTGGTGGAACTAAGGAATATAATGTCTGAATATTTGCCATCAAAATGGTGATATATTGGTGAGAGGCTAGCAATGCATTGTCTGTGAGAAAGATGTTGTAGGGTGGAATTCATCCCCCAAAAGTTCATGTAAAAACTTTTGAACTCTGTCAAGGTTGGAAAGTGAGAATTGAGCAGCTCCAGTTCATCAACCAGTTGTACTGTTTGTACAGATTCCCAATGGCTCTGTCACCATCTAATTCTATTGTTCATCATATTCAGCAGATCAGAGAGATTGTATTTTATGCCATCACAAATCTGCTTCATATAGGTCTTGGCTTGCTGTCCTCTGCTTGCTCTTCCTTGTGTAAGCTCCCACAAAATAACTTCACTAACAATTTCAGTTTTAGCTCTCCAACAATCTCCTTCAAATTTGACTCTCTGCTCTTTGATGATGTCTGATAATAGACAAAAGTTCCCAAATAATTGCTCATTGGTCAGACGATCACTCCAACTGACATTCACAGCTGCTCTTGGCAAGCAAGCATAGTCTCTATCCAATATTCTTTCCAGTTTTGAGATAAAGGTTCATGTTGAGCAGTCCTACAATAGAACAGAGGTAACAGTTGCCTGAAAGAGGCTTCTTTTCATCTTGTCTCGAAATCTAGATTTCCACACTAGAGATAACCTGTTGATGGAAACTCATGCTTTACCAATATATGTTTATATTACTTTTGCAGCTTAAGATTTTACTATCAAGATAAGTAAATTCTTCTACACAGTTGAGATGTGTGCCAGATCCTGTTTTGATTGTTCAATTTTGACTTAAGATTATGCGTTCTGTTTTGACTGAGTTAATTATGAAGACCAATAACTCTGACTGAATTTCTTCTAATACAAGAGTAATCTTAGTCTGATACAAGAATGAAATAATAAGTTTATAGACTGTTATTAGGTCAATTTTGATCAGAAATATTTCTTGTATAATTTTCAGGTGTGTGATTATTTCTTTTGCTTCTTTCCAACAAGTATTAATCCTGTAATAATCTCAAGTTAACTGAATATTTTATGACATTTTTCTTTAAATCTTATTTCTGTTATTTGTCTTCATCTTGTAGTTATAGGCTTACAGTTAAATCACATTGAAAACAGCAGTTCGGTCACCAGTGTTAAGCAGCATCTAGTGACTACTTAGATGTGGGACCATTTGTGAACAACTTCCTAAAAATCGAAATATTTTTTGGTTTTAAATAACCTTCAAAGGGTTGATTACCCTTAAAAACAAATCAAGCTTATATTATTTTAATTTTTTAAGCTATGATTCTGCATTGTCTGAATTAATAGATATAGCAGCAAAACTTCAGTCTTGGGAAATCATCATCAATTATTTAATGCGTCATTTTATTTTATTTTTTAATTAATTCACTATAACCAAGGCAATAAGGCTACTAAGATGCAAGTGGTTACTGGGAGTGAAAGAGAAAGAAAAAGAAGAGGGAACCAGAAACCTGACCCTAAACAGAAAACCAGCGATAGAACTCTACTCCTGTCCAAGAAAGATTGTGAACCGGACCATAGGCAAACCTATGTACTCCTACTGAGGAAAGAAAAATAAAAATAAATATAAATAGTAAATAAAATTTCAGTGTTTAGGTGGAGATTTTAAAAGTATAGATCTGAGGTAGACTTTAGAAGGAACCAGAAACCCAATCCTAAATGTGAATCAAGGGACAAACCTCTACTCCTGTTCAAATAGAAATTTTTGGCATGGTTACCTTTTGTATATCTTGAAAATATCCATTCACACTGTTCTTGCAAATTTGAATGAATTCCTATATTTTTATTTCAGTGGCTGACATGGCACGTAAAGTAATCTGGAAATGTCTAGTTGAAGACCCAGCATTATTCCTCAGACATTTTTTGGAAAAACTCACCAATAAAGAAAGACAGGTGATGACGCTTTCTAGTTTTTCATCTTTAAAATGTTTTATGCTTATCTACAAGTGTTCCATATTTGAATAATATAATTTTTTTCTCAAATTTAAAATTTGTCCAAAAATGTATTAACTTAAAAAAACATTTTTAGTCATTGCACATGTGTTCATTCAGTATTTTTTATAATTCTTAGCTGAATTTTACATTTTATGTTTTTTTCTTTGAAATTGAATCTAAAAATGGAACTGAAATTTGTCTTGACTCAAATATATTTCTACAAGTGGAACAATCTAAATAAAAAAAATATAGTTTTAAATATAATTTTTCTAGTTTATTAGCATTTATATAGTTTTTTTTTTAAATTATGTTACTCATCCCAGTGTCACATACATCAGAGAAGCAGGTGCATCAGGAAGTTACCTGGGATGGTGACCGAACTACAACATGCAGATTCACACCTTACGCTATGTCAGTGGCTGTCTTCAGCATGTAAACAGATAATTGGCACAGCTGTACTTAGGATGAGCACACATGGGATGACCAATGACAGGAGGATATATATGCACACACTCAAGAGGAAATAAGTAGAGAATCACTTACATCCTTAAGAGAAGAATCCACATTCAGAGAAGTCCTAGCCACACAGATCCACTCAGTTATATTGACAAAATTGAAAGTTGAATAAACAATAATTTTGCATAGGAGAAATTTAGACGTGTGTTCTTATTAGTCTGTACAATAAGAATGTTACAGATTATCTAATCTTGAAAGAAGACTATCATTGCTTTTTTTAAATATACTAATAAAAAAAATTGTCTTTCTCTGTTACCCTACATATACAAGCCTATGGCTGAAATTCCCCAACTTCTGGTCATGTGCCACTTGATCTCAAAAGTTTTCATTTATTTACTTCATTTTCTTTTTAATTACTTGTGAACATTTTGAAGATCTTTACTGTTGGTCATAAAACACCAAACCTTTCAATCCCAGATAAAATCATTTAGAGGTCACTTGACTTCATGTATGTCCTCAGCATGGTCAGATGCCATTGTGTCACAAATGTAGTTTATTTAATCTTGAAAGAAAACTCATTGCTTCATAAAAATAAACCAACTCAAAAGAATTTGTTACTAAAAGCAGAACATAATGGAAAATAAATTCTTGTTTATATATTTTTTTTCAATTAAATATTCTATTCTTTTATGTACAGATTCCTTCTGAAGGCAACAAAGAGGCTACAGCAGGGGTGCTAAAAAATTATGTCTGATTTAGCGTTACAAGTCTTTAATTTGATGAAAAATTATTTTTTGCTGTTGTGATCTGGAAATATTTTGCTGTTAATATTTTTTTGTTTAAATTTTTTTTACTTTTTTTTCTCAACAAGAAAGAAAACTCTCTTGAATAGATTTACTAAATAATATGAGACTTCATTTTATTCAGATTATTTTTTCATTTCCAGTCAACATTTAAGTTGCTGTTTGTTAAGGTGATAGAAATCGGTATTTTATTGAAATGAATTGGGGCTTGATTAAATTTTTCTTACCATCATTCTGGAACCATCTTGAAAAAAAACCTTTACTCTAATAATTTTAAACCAAAATCACAATAAAGTTGTTTTTTGTTTGCTTTTTAATTTTATCATAGTTGTTTGTAGCAGGAAAAAAAACACCATTTAGATGCTTAGGAAATATTTTTTTGATCCATTCAATCTTTAACTGTTTATTTGTTTTTAATTTAATACCAGTTATAACAAAAATTAAAGAAACTAAAATATTAAATGTTTTAAAAATGAATGCATTAACAAATTAAATTTTACTGTAATTTTTATAAAAATCACAACTGCATATTTATTTAAACATTTTGATTAAACTACCTTGAATAATTTTACACATGTTCTGATTACTCCTTATATTTTCAATTTAGTTTATAATAAACAGAAAACATAACATATAAATTGAAGTGGTGAAAGTGAAACCTTTAGAAGGCAGTAATGAACTAACAAGATGGCTACATTTTACATCAGGAAAGTGGCAATGAAGGGAGGTTATTAATAGTAAGTCAAAGGGAGATTACTAGGAAAAAACTTATTCCTGAGAATATTCAGAATATCACATAAAAGTTGTTTGTTAAAGCTTCATTCAAGTCTTCTAACCAAAAATTAACAGACAAAATATAATTTTCTTGTTTTGTTTATTAAAGAAAAAAAACATCTCTGATATTTGCTGTGGTTCGTTTTTATATGTGTAAAAATATACATTTCTCTTTGTTTGAAAACTTAAGAGCATTTTTTTAAAACCTGTTTAAATCAAAGCAAAATTTTATCCATCTTTATTTTTATTACACAATAGCAAAATAGAACCTGATTATGTTTCAAAATAGATTTGTTTATTTATATAATTTGTTAAACATCCATCCGTTTTTAGTTATCTTTACTTTTTTAATAAAATTCTGAAGTTGTTTGAATTCAAATTGTAAAACTAATATGAGTCAAATGGAATCAAATAATGTCTGCCTATCTCCTTTATTGGCTCACTGTAAATATTTTTCTTTGTTAAAACTTTGCTATTTTCACTTCAGGAGGAATTGATGTTTCTTCTGAGAAAGCTACTGCTTTACTTTCGAGATCTTCCAGCGCAAATGGCACATTCATTATTCAACTATTTGGTAAGATTTCTACTTTTAATTTGATACCTTTTGTTGATTGGTTAATGTATTTTATATATAAGTAAAGTATGTAAGTAAAGAATTAATTAAGGAATTTTCCTTTTATTTATTTTTTTTCTAGATTGGTTATGTGATCTTTTATGTACGGACTCCTTCTGAAGGCAGCAAAGAGGCTATAGCAGGGGCGCTTTCACTTTTGTGGCAGGTAAATGTTTTTATTTGAATCAGAATCTGTTGGCCATTTTTAAAAAAAGAAAAATGTTATATTTTTTTAAAAGGTAACTCAACATTGGAATGGTCATATTAAAACTCATGAACATTCCAAAGTTGAGATACCTATATAAAAAGAAATACTGTTTAATAAATTGGAATAAAAAAAAAATGCTTTTTGAAAAAGCTAATAATTTTTTTTTAATTTTCTTATTCTTTAGCACTCTGCATAATTAATATTACTTCCTTTTCCACTGCACTATTTTTCAAGACCTCTCAATTGCAGTATCCTTATTGTTAATTTCACTCAAAGTTGTTTTCTGTTGCCATGGCAGGATATGATAACACAACTATGAAATTCAAACACACTATTGTTTGGGGATCAGAGTCACCTTCAATGGAAAGAAACTTTTTGTACAGCAAATGAAGTCGCATACAGTGTGATAAAAGTTAATTACCAGTTCAGATAGTGTGCAACATAGGATAATTGAATAACAAAGAGGGAAAAAAATTCTATGTAATGCATTTTGTCCTTGATGTAATAGAATAACCAGCCACCCCCATGAATGATTGATTACACTATAGGCAGTAAGTAACTGTCTACAAGAGACTCAAGCACGTCTGACCTTCCAATTAGTGGCACTCACTACTAGATTGACCTGTGTGTATAACTGTACCATATTTCATATTGTACTGGTTGTGTACAATAAACCTTTCTTCTATTATCCACCTGGTGTTTAAGTATTTATTCCCTTAGCACAGAATATAAGAGTCCTTATATATATAGGGAGTGGGGAAATATAAAACATGCATCAGTTATAATTATGCACTGAGGGGAAGCAATGAAGATGTATGAATGTCAAATTTTTAAATTTTTGGCATCCAACATATCCAGATGCACAGCTCAGCCAATGATATTTGTTTTCTCAACACTTTTGTTTTTATTGCTGCTGTTTTTAAATATCCCACACTGTGACAACAAAATTTGTTAAGAAAGGTGAAATGTTGTAAAGCCTAAATTCAAGTTTACCACAGAAGACTCAGAAATCAGTGCATTTTCTATAAACTTTTGCCTTCATAAATTACTTTTGTTTTTTAATGAAAGCAGCATTTTTAAATGCAAATGATAGTCACATTAATCACAATGAAAAAATAATGCATTGAATGTGTTGCTTTGTTATAAAATCTCTTTTCTGTTCATATAATCTTTTATTTAAATTCCTCAAAGTTTCTACGATGTATTTTTTGTGACAATCATTACAGGCTTATAGTGTAAATTCCTACTTCAGTTTTTAGCTTATTTTTATATTGCTTTGTATTAATTAAGCAATTTATTGTTTTAGGAGTTGTAACAGATTTTATATTAAGTTTAGATAAATTTGTCTCAATTGTTGTACATGTACAAATACTACACACATTAATATGGTCTTTAGAGTATGAAATGAATAATATAGAATTTTTAGAGGGAAAAACATGTTGTATAGAATTTTTGCATTTTGTCATTCAATTACCCAACATTGTTCTTATAAATAAAAATTTATATCATATTCTAAAGAATTAATGAATTTTATTTTTTAGTCTGACATATTTTTATTATTTTAAATGTTATTTTTAGTGGATACCCATATTTGAGTAAATGCACTGTTTATTTTAAACAGTATCTTATTTAATCTACTGGCCTGTACATTCAAGAAAAATGCTTCCTCCAGCGGGATTCAAACATGTTTCCCCCTTTGCAGGAGAAACCATCATTTAATCCAACATGTTTTGACCACTCAACCATTTAAAGACAAATAGAACCTTGCTTGATTGTGAAGTTCTTCATAGCTAAAGAGTCAAAGCATGTCAAATTAAAAATTGGATTCTCCTGCAACAGGGGATGCAGGTTTGAGTCCTGCCAGAGGGCATAATTTTTTTTAATAATCTTTCTCGAGAAAGCCAGAAGACGAAATAAATACTGATTAAAATAAATGGAGCTTCTATTCGAATATGGGTCTCTGCTAAAAATAATGTTTATCCCTTTAGCATTCACCCTCCACCCCTAAGTATTGGCTCTCAATGTTCAGCCTGCCATAAATCACCCCATGTATACTCTGCAATAATACATGACAACATCATTGCAAATAATGCAGGAAGGCATGCAGTGAGCCTTTAAGATCCGGTATTTATGGGGCAATTTTGAGTGTGTTGAATGCTAAAGAGTTAAAATAATAACATATTCTCTCTTGGTGTCCAACATACTTGCATAAAAAACCAAAGACTTGTGAAGAATTTATGTTACTTTTAAATCTGCCCTTTCGGATGATGATAGTAAATTTAATGATGACAGAAAATACATTTAATGAATTGTCATTAGAGTAATTTACAGATATCCTTATTTTCTCCATTCTAAGTAGATTTTAGGCTGATAAATATTTTCACTTTTGAATTTTGATATAGATTATACCAAGTGTGGAAGGAATTTATTTCAAGGATCTAAAACAGACACTTCGGAAAGAACAATGTGACGTATGTATCTTTGTCTTTAATCTTATTGTTCTTAATCTTTTAGCATTTTGTTACTTTTTGTCTTTATAAAGGGTGTTTCATTAAGACGGATCAAAGTCAGCAGTAAATAAATCAGTGTTATTAGTGAAAATTTATTTATTTCTCTATTGGATCATGTTATTTAAGTCATGACAATTATCCGTGAAAAACAATATTACCCAAATGTCTGCCAAGGCTTCGGCGGCACACCTCCACACGATGGTCAAAATTTTTGATGATGTCACTGTATAGTTGCTCCTCAATCTCACAAATATGCCTTATTATCTCATCCTTCAGCTGTTGAATTGTTGTTGGCTTGTTAGCATAGACCTTACTTTTGAGATGACCACAAAGGAAGAAATCTAAAGATGTCAAGTTGCACGATCGTGATGGCCAATTGATTTTGCTGTTTCGAGAGATGATGTTACCTGGGAACTTCTCATTGCATTTCTGTTTGAACGTCCATTTTCATAATAGGCTTTGATAACTTTAACACATTGTTTGATTGTCAATCTTTCCATGATTGAAATTGCCAAAGACTTTTAGTATCCTGCTACCACTTTTTTATCAATGTTGAATTTTGTACAAATCTGTGCAAAAAGTGGATCAAAGAGCTTACCCAGCTTCATACATATTTTCAGCAAATATCAACTTCTAATTGGTCAATAAACACACAGGTGGGCATTGCAATCCACCCATGTACAAGTCTTTTTCCAGCACCTGACCAAGTCAAGTTTTCCCGCTCTTTTTCTAGGATCCTGTCACATGGTTACATTAATTATAAATAGCAGATACGAGTTTGTTTTCTCTCTCTTCTCTTCTCTTTATTGATTTCATTCACCTATGAAAATGTAACCTTAAAGGGTTCGTGTCTTGACCATGTGTGGACAGACACTTATGAAAACATATTCACATGTATGTACATACAAAATTTTCCAAACTACATTACAAACATATAAAACATTTCCAAACAAGCAACAAGAACTTTTCTCTTTAAAAATACTCTGATCAAGCTTTTGCACACATCTTTACAAAACAGAATTGTAATATTCTGCATATAAAAAATATATTTGTAGTTCTAAAACTATCCTTTTTGTCATAATTAAATATCGTTACCATTTGACCCTTTTTTTATAATTTATGTTTGTGGATATTGCATGTTTTATTTACAGCGCAACTTTAAATATTCATGCAGCCTTCCCAGATCCACAACAAACTTAAGTTGTTAAATCTGAAAGAAAAAGAAAAAAATCATTATAACGCTTAAATTAATTCACATTTAAAATTGGTCCAAGTTATTGGAACACCCTTTATATCTAAAATGGAAAGAAAAATGATTTTTTCACTATCTCTTCCTCCTCTCGTTTTAATAAATTTATATGTGAGTCATATTCTTAAATACCTTCATCATATTGAGACTTTCATATTGATTTTATGCAGGGTGCAAAACTCGTACAGAAATATCTAAACTGTCAGCTGCATACAACCATTTTCTCAGATCAGTGGTTTTAAAATGGCTATGAGCAAATGTAGGTCTTAAATGACCATCCTTCTTTGAACCTTGTGGATGGATGCTACAGTCGCAAAGAAATTTACCAAATAACAAAAGCCACATCACTTGAGGACTTTCAACAGAGACAGTAACTAAAATTATTATCACATGTAACTTAAAGAGGAAATAATGACATAATCAAGATGTTGATGATCCACAATAATTCAAGCAAAAGGTTAGAAAGGAAGCCCCCATCAATAATGGAATGAGCAATAATTGAACTTAAGAAACCTGAAAAATTGTTTTAAGAGAAAAATTTCAACCATGAGCAGAACTGATTGTTTAATCAATGAATACCAAATCTTTCCTTATAAAGTGATAAAAATCTGTCAAATTAATAAAAATCTATTCTAAAAATTCTCTTTGTTTACATTTGGATACCAAATATATTTCGTTATAAAGAAACGGCTACTATTCACGTTACCATTTAATATGTCCATTTTTGAAATGGTAATAAAAATAGTTCTATATATTCATGCAGTTGATTTATATTTTCAATGAGAAATTAAGATTTTAATTCTGAAAACTTTTTAAAACTGTCTGTGGGAATTTTAGATTTGTTTTTAATTAATCTGACAGATTTTTATCACTTTAAAGTGGATTCTCAATTTTGAGTAGGTGCTCCACTTATTCATTTGACATTATATTTATTTATTTTCACCTACTGGCCTGATTGAGACATATTAAAGAAAAATTTGTGCCTTTTGGCAGGAATTGAACCTACATCCCTCAGGGAGCCACCGTTTAGTCTGGCATACCTTACTGCTTGTCTATGAAGGAACTGGCAACCAGGCAAAGCCAATTTCATGCCTTCAAGCAAAATTTCTCCAGTCATAGATCTTTTAAAGTTTTTTTTTTTCACATTTGCACATAGTTTTGTATCCAAATATAAATAAAGAGAATTTTTAGAATAGCTTTTTATTAATTTGACAGATTTTTATCACTTTAAATGTTATTTTTAATGAATACCAATATTTGAGTAGGTGCTCTATTTATTTATTAAACAGTATATTTGTTTATTTTCACCTACTGGCCTGATTGTTCAAGAAATCTTATTAAAAAAATATTTGAGCCCTTTGACAAGAATCAAACCTGCATCCCTCAGGGCAGAGACAGCCACTGTTTAGCCCAGCCCGCTTTGTCTCTAGGGAGAAACAGTCAGGCAAAAGCCAATTTCATGCTTTCAAGTAAAATATCTCTTGTCATAGATCTCTCAAAGTTTTTTTTTTTTTCTTCATACCTGTACAACTGTCTGTGCAAAATTGATCTTTTATTAGTTCTTTTGTATTAAAAATGTTTAACTTATAAAATAATATTTTGTGGCACATGGTTATTAAATGAAACAGTTTTCAGATACGCAATTTTATTTCTTGTATTTTTAATGTAATGATATTTTTTCATTAAGAAAGTATATTGTTTCTGTTATGGGACCTTACCCATAATAACATAATGGACTATTCCATATGTAATAAATACTGCGCCCCAAGAGGAAGCAGCAAGTTCAGTCTGAAGTCGGGCAACCGGCTGATCAGTTGAACTCTCTGCCTTCAGGTGGGGAGGAACCTGAATGAGGCTACGCCGAAGGGCGGAGTCTCTTTCGGGGAGGTAAACTGACCCTGAACCTGTTTATACGGGTTGAAAGGGCATATTTTTGGCTGAGCCCACGGGTTCAGAGATCCCACATTAAACCAGCCTTGTGCCACATGATACCCTCGTGGGGGGGTGACTAAATATCGTTCAGTTTGAAGTCTGGAGTGAGGTCTGTCAGTCAGTCAGAGCGAGTCAAGAGTCGAGTCAGAGGCAGTCCGAAACAGAGTCGCATTCAGACAATTACTACAAGACATTGGGATAGTGATACTTGTCGAAACTACATTGTTCTCCCTACTAAACCTGATTGTTCGTACTAACACTTCCTTCTTCTCTGTATATATTCCTTTTTGTAATATATCTGTGTTATTCCATATCCGTGTTCGAGTTCTTCTTTATTGGTTCTACCTTGGACTATCACTGTGGTACAAGGAACTGGACCATAACAGTTTCTTAATTATAGACATATCAAATTTTTCATTTGGATAAAAATTTTATTTATCTGTTTAGAATTTGTAAATTTAATGAGTCTTAAATCTCATACTATTGTGTTAAGTCTGTTATTAAATTATCTTAGTTACTTGTCAATTTTTCTCTACTTTTATATATCAAAATCTTTTTCAGCCTTTCCTTCTGGTATCATCAAATGTTCCAAGTGCAAAGAAAATAATTGTGCATGGACCAGATCTTGCCAGTATTCCATCACAGTTTCCTGTGCAAGAAGTAAGAATATCTTTCTGACAATATTTCTTTCAATAGATTGATTGCAAAGTTTCATATGTTGTAATCTTAATTATTTATTTATATTATGGAAAAATGAAATAAAATCAATAAATAAAATGATAATAATGAATAATAAAAAAAAAAAAAGAAATACATTTTTCCATGATGCTAGTAGTAAAGGAACTGGAAATATGATTACCCCTCCCCCCCACTTGGCTTTGTCAAACACTTGTTAGGTGGTGCTGTTTGGGTCTACAAAAAGACAAACCGTTTCCTTCCTCACTCTCTTTCTCCCCCTTACTGCAAGATGTAGCACAATATAGAACTTACGTTGCTGCTAGGGAGCATCTCCTTCCCCGGTCTGCTGATGATTGAATTCTCTTTTCCACTTTCTAACACGTGACATTTGCAAATGTCTTCCAAAATCTCCACCTATGAAGCAAATCAACCTTTTCTTTGGTCTTTCCAACTCAGCATAAGACCAGTTTGAGCTTGACCATCATAACCATGCTAACACATTCTATCAATGAAGCAAGTTTTTTCTTTGGTTGTTCCAACTCGGTGCAAGGATGACTTGAGCTCAACCATTATAATGATGCTTATCATTAATAACCCTAACTTCTGAACCAAAAAGAAAATGCACATACCTGAGAGAAATTGAGAACTTTGTTTCACTACAGTTTATATTAAAAAAAAAAGAGAATAAACAGTTTGTGGTAGAGACTCAAGTTTTTATTGCTTCTACATTAATTGTTTAGATATGAACAGACATGCCACCTAAAATACCCAAACACACAAACCTTTAAATTCCATAATAGCCTCATCAGATTGAGACTTTCATATAGATGTAGCACCAAGCTCGTTCAGTAATATCTAAACTGTTGGCTGCATACAACTGCATTCTCAGATTGCTGGTTAAAAAAAGCTTTGAGTAAGGGAAGCGTGTAGGACTATCCTTTCTTGAACCTTGTGGACTGGAGTTACAGTATCACAAAGATCTGTACCAAATAACAGAAACCACATCACTTGAGAACTTTCAACAACAGCAACAACTAAAATGGATAGAACATGTAACTCAAACAGAAAATAAGGGAATAATCAGGATGCTGACATTCCATACTACCTCAAACAAAAAGAAGAAAAAAGAACCCTCCATCAATACTGGAACTCATTTTCCTCAAAAATTGTTTTAAGAAAAATTTTTTATAAATTTCAACTAAGAACAGCACTGACTACTTGGTCAATAAATGTTTCCAGTTAATATTACCATTAGAGATGAAGAGGAAACAAGTGAAGAAAAGTGTAACTCAAGTAGCACTGGCTGCTTGGTCAATGAATGCTGAATGTTTCCTTATAAGGAAACATCTATATTATCATTACCATAATAGCTGTAAGATATATAATTGAAACAAAAATAAGGATTAATTTATAATTCTCAATAGAATTTTCTGAATATTTCAATTTTTTCTATAGATTAAAAAATTGTTCTCAAACAGGAGATTCTAAAAATTTAAATATATCTTTTTTTTTAATACTAACATATTTTAATTTGGTCTAATTTTCCAGGATACAAAGTTCTCACAGATTCTTAAGGATTCCCTGGATTTCTTTAACATTCCTGATGACCAGCACAACTCATATTTCATAGTTGACACTAAATCAAGTGAGTTATTTGATAATTTAATTATTACTTTGTTACTAACCAACTTCATCTTTTTTTATTACAAAATTACTTTCCATATACTAATTCAGTATAACTATGATGCAGTTTCTTTTTACAGTCAAGAAAGTTTGTTTGTTTGTTTAAAACTTAACGACCCATCAATCAGCAAGAGATCATTTAAGGTCAAACAGTTTTTTGTTTTTTTCTTTTTCTTTAAATAAGGTTGAAATGCTTTCAAAAAGACCTTCCCTTCCCTTTCCTTTCCTTCTTTTTCAATGTTGTCTTGCTTTTTTTTTCTTTTCTTTTTTTTTTTAAATTCACTGTTTTCGGAGGTGCGTTGTTCTTTGAAAATTTCTCACCTGGCAAGTATCAAAGTTCCCCCTTTCATCATCAGACACCAAATTGGAATTATATTTTATTATATAGTCCAACTTTCCTAAGAAAGGTCAAGATCAAATTGGGGTTTGATTTTTCGAAAAGTTCTTTCAAGTTGTTCAAGAAAGTAAGTTAAGAAATAGTCTTGTATAAAAAAGAGAAATATTTGCATCACTTTTTTGTTCTGAAGTGTTTTCTTAATATTTCTGTTTTAAGCTAGAAATAATAATAATAATAATAATAATGATGTTGTTGTTGTTGTTCTTCTTCTTATTATTATTATTATTACCCCCCGATCATTTTCTGTTTTTCTCTCCGATTAATTTGATATAATTATATATCTACTCAATTAGCAGTGATTAGTTCTTTTTTGGAAAAAGCAGGGTTGGCTAAGCCTCTGCACATCATATTAAAAATTGCATTGACCGTCTTTCTGCCAACGGAAGGAGAAATTTACTCTCTATTGGGTGGTTTGTGAGTCTATATTTTTCACTAGAACTGTTTATTGTGTTTTTTTTGTTTTTTTTTTTTTTTTTGCTATTCCCCTTTTTTCTCCTCCCCCACTTTTTAATATTAAATTGTATTTTAATCATAGTTCCTTGTCTCCTCCCAGTATGTCTATTCCCTGTGATTATTGTTACATTATATTATTCACCAACGATTCTACTGATGAGCTGTTGACTGAAAAAAGGTTACCTTTTTAAGGGAAAAATATGCAGTTTTGTCTGTTTAAAACTATAAGTTCTGTGGCATCAGACATTTGTATGTGTGTTTGTGTGTGCTTATATATATATATATATATATATATATATATATATTGTCATCCACAGACTGTTTCACTGTATCACAGTTCATCAGTGTGGCTAGACATCTGATTGCTTCAAGCCAGGGTTGAAACCCAACTGATTCGGCAACAGTCAGAGATTTTCCCTCTAAGTCATCGGCGTATGGTTGAAAGAAATACAAACTTTTATATACTTATTCTTTGAATAAACACACCAATGACTGAGAGAGCTCAATTCAGGGAATGGGAAGAGCCTTGTAATGTTAGTAGTAATAGTCATTGTTTACAAATTCGCACCTATATATTTATGGTCACTAAAAAGAAGACTGACGTAGAGCCAGGAGACGTACATACTATTGTGCATAATCACCTTGCTGTTCAACGCACTTTGTTTATTTTTTGGTAGATACTTTTCTTATTATTTGTGTAATAGAAGTTTTTCAGTTTTAAATCTATATTTGGACTTAAGTGCCTTTTAGTTTTGTTACAGTACCATTTATGGGTTCATGAAAACTCTTTTAATATGCCAGTGAATATTAAACTATTTCCTCACAAATGAAGAAAAGATTTGAAGTTCTACCACCAGTTGTTGCAAATGCCATGTACAGAACATGTATAAAATGGAAAAGTTCAAAGGAAAATAGAAACTGCTGCTAATAATCAGAAAGAATCAATGGAAATTTTGTGTGGCATATGACAAGAAAAGAAAACTTAGAGAATTTAACACTCACAGGGTACTTTGAAGGTAAAATATGTAGAGAAAAGAAGCCAATACTTGACATGCTTTAGCAAAAAGGATGGAAGACATTACCACAATGACAAAGTGAAAATATTACTGAAAGCAACAAGAGACAGGAAGCTGAGGAGTGCCATTATTATCCACATCTTCAAGAGACACTGCTTAACCTCATTTAAAATCTCTGTCAGGTCGGATTCAGGTCACACAGAGATGATTATTTATCTTCTATATAGGGATAGGAAGTTGTGACAATCCATGATCACCTATGTCCTGAAGGAACACTGTACATAGAAGAAAATATCATTGACTCAAAAAAGCATTAGAAATGTATAAATAATTATAATAGTAATTACTTATGTAGGAATTAATGCTCATGTTATACTCTATTTCAAAATAGATCTCTTTCTGATTCATTCTACATGTTGGCCAGATGTGAAGAAAGCAAAAATAAAAAAAAAGTCATCCTCTGCGCAGAAGCTCCAAGTATCTCATTCAGCCCAAAAAACAAATCCCCTCAAAAAATATCAAATACAACATAAAAGAAGTTAATGATGAACATTGCCACCAAAGATAAAGCATAAAATAAAGATGAGCTTAGGAGCCACTATATTTACTTTTAAGAATGCCACTCATAAACAACTGACACAGATTCATGGTGAACTGGCAAACTTCAACTAATCTGCAACCCGCCTCTCAACATCACCATTGTGGCTTTGGTTAACTGACTCAACACAAGCATTAACTCCAGATCCTACCAAATTTACCTTTCCTCTAAGGTGTTTTGTTCACATCCTCTGTATTGGCAATATGAAGAATTTTATATTAACAATTTTTGCCTTTCTTTCCTTTTGCCTCATCAGCAGTACTTGTTTTGTTTGTTCTCTCATGCTACCATACATGTGTTTATAATACCCACACCCTGTCAGATAATGAATGACTTAGATTAGCTAACAGATGAATTATTCATACAACAGAATTTATCTACTTTAGTATGGTTTTGATATTGTATGCAATGTGTGCTGTTATACTTATTTAATTTCTTTTAAAGGTGATTTTAAGCATTGGTGACATGCAAATTCATGAAGTATTCCATATTTTTTCCTACTGTCCAGTAAAACTTTTCATACAGGCATCAGTGATATTCACTTGTCCCCATATGTGTAAGCCTATAATAAACACAAAAAATCCCTCCAAAATTCTTTCTTCACAATGTCAAACAAAAAGAAGCACCAGACCAGATGTTGCAGCACAGCAATATTCAATATATCAATGAATGGTAGATATATAAATTGTTTTTATCATCTGCAATACGATATAAAATGTTAGCATTAGATGTTACATATTTGTATTTCAAAAATAATTTAAATTAAGCATGGCAGAAAATTTGAAGAAAAATTTAAATTAAAAGAAATGAAAACTCAAAGATGTAAACTTATAAAACTGATTTTTTAAAATTGTTTTTTTTTAAAAAAAATTTTTTAATGTTGTCTTCTTTTTGCAGATCACATGCACAACCTAAATTCATATGTTCGTGATTTCTACTTCTTCCATCGAAATATCTACCCTCAATTGAGTTTGCTCTACATGAATCCAGATGCTGCTTTCCAATCACTACAGAAACAGGTAAGTGTTGCAGCCATGATTGATTTCATGCTCATTGTCTGCAGAAAGAAATTTCTTATCTACATCAACAAATACTACACACAGTAATAGTTCTGAAAGCATTTTGGTACGCATGTTCCAGAAAATATGTTTACATTCTACAAAAGCTTCTTCTTTATATCCCCTCAAGCGATCATGACTCCCACAACTTTCTGTCCCTTGTAGCTCTTAATAAACTTTGTCTTTCTGTTATTTCTTCTAAATCATGTTCTGCCATCCATTTACTGATGCTCATTAAATATGTTATTCATTGTTTTCCTTTGTCTCTCTTGTCTTCAATCTGTCCTGTGAGTATCAGATTTTCCAAGCCCTCTTCTCTCAGAAGAGCCTAGAAACCTCAACTACCTCTTCTTGATCTTAAGTATTAGTTTCCTTTTTGTTTCCATTTTCTCCAAAACTTTGTTGTTACTCACATGTTTGGTTCACAATATCATCGGCATCCTTCTCTAGAACCACATTTCTGTTGCTTCAAGTCTCCTCTTCAGGTTTGAGAACATCATCCAGCACTCACTGCCATACAGGATGACAGATATTATGTGACAGTTTAGTACTCTTTTTCTTGTTTCTAGCGCTATTTTCCTATTTCTTAATACTCTGCTTAGCTTTAGGAATGCTTCCTTGGCTATCCCAATACACCTTCGGATCCAAGTGTCACTCCTTCTGTCCTCTGTTTTTGTAGCTTTCTGTGTCTGCTATCAGCATTATTGTTATATATCAAGCATTTATCCTAGCTGGCTTAAAGACCACCAAAGACAGATATTAACATCAATGACATCAATCTACATAATATAGCAATGCTGTATAAAATCTGTTTGTTATCTCCCTTCTCTATTGTACTCTTCTACATTTCTAACCAACGCCTTTATCCACTGTGCCATGTGTCCTTGAGGTTAGATCCAGTGACAGACCCAAAGAAGGTGAGTTCAATTCCTGGTTAAGGCAGTGGAGAACTTTCAGAGGGAAAATTAGCAGGAGATAACTGATAACTGACATCCATCAAACATGGCACGTGGAATTAGAACAGTCTACCCCAGTGATCGAAATAAAGGGTTCAGTTCGAAATTCCAACCACCTGAAGAAGGCCGGAGCGCATAAACGGCGTAAACGTTGTGACAAATATGGCGACAAAGATGAGGACAATAGTCCGACTAATGTAAATACTGTCCTTTTTTTTTGTCTCTCTTCATCCTTTGTTTTTCTCTCTATGTTCCTCTCTTGTTTTGTTTCCCTCTTGGACTCTTAACACAGTCTGGGTTACTCCAGTCTGTAACAAATTTGCAAAGACAATTAAAAAAAAAATAAATAAATGAAAGATTTTAATTTCAAAAGGTCACATGCTTTCTCTGTGTCGCACTCCCTTTTCATCGTTCTATGTCTCCCTCTCTCTTTCTGTTTTACTCTCTATGCCCTTTTCTCTTTCCCTCTTGGACACACTACACAGTCTGAGTCTAATAGGATTAGTGTGACACACACCATACAATCAATATACATGCATTGATATATAGATAAAATTGAAAAAATATTACAAGAACCTGACTTTTTTTCAGGCTAGCAGAACTGCCCAAAAGCATTCTATAAATAACTATATTCAATAGATTTATTGCTTATCAATGTATATAGAATTTTTTGACATTGTAGTGATCATCTCCATTGTAAGATAGTAATGTTAGCAATGACATAGTTATCTTCTATCCTGGGTAACATCTGCATCCTGGGTAAGACAATAAACTACATCCGACAGCAAGACTTCTGTTCAGGAAGTTTTGAGGAGTGTGGAACCACCTCTTAATTGTTGTTGTTTCCAGGCCCACTCTGACGTGGAGTGGTAGCACCTGTTAGGGTCCCAGCTATGGGCAAATAGTTAACCTTCAAACTGGAGTCAAAATACTATGAAAGTGTAAAAATAGGTTTTAATACTTAATACTTTAATAATTATTACCAGCAATAAATGTTTGAAGGATACAAATGAAAAAAAAAATATTACCAGCAATACATTTTGAAAAAAAAAATATTACCAGCAATAAAGATTTTGCCGACATTAAATAACCCATTGAGGGTGATATGCCATAAAACAAAACAAATCATAACCATATTTATCTTAATTTAAAATGCATCATTTTTTATCATTGTATTAATAATAAATCATGATAATAATAAAACTATATGTAGGCTTGTGTATGAACACTTGTTTTCTTCTCTTTTTAGGCCTTTATTTTGAAGTTTGTAGAATTTGGGAAAGTGCTTTTCAGCAATGTTGTTTTAAAGAGTACACAACCTCATCAGGTAAGTAAAGTTTAACTTCATGGATTTAACTTCTTTGCACTGAACTTGACATTTCAATTCTGAGCTTTGTTGGGACAATTGTCTTTGAGTTACTGGTTTCTAAGGAAATAGACAGGTTTCATTGTTTACAGCAGTGGCTATTAACCAGACTCCATATAGACCTTGGGGGTTTTTGTAGCATTACAGGATCCACAAAAAAAAATAGCAAATTGAAGGTCCACAGTAATATTTTAGTGGTCCTTAGAGCAATTCCAATTCAGAACAGTTGCTGCAACTTAGAATTGTGACTTATACAGTAATCTATGTTTTATTAAAATATAAAAAAAAAACACTAACACAGAATATAAAAATATAAAAACAACTTTAAAACTAGCAGAAAACAAAATCAAGGGGTGTACATTAGCGTCCATTTTACTCTACTGGATGTTTTGATTGTAAAAGTTCAATAAAAACTGAGAAGGATATATAAAGGAAGGCTTATTTATATATATAATAATGGACTCTCCCGTCGGTTTCAGCATATGAGGATCTGACAGCTTATTGATTCAGTTATGAAATTTTGTGCGATAATCTTAAGTGGCATTTAAGACCTGCAAGTGTGAGGATTGTGAGATGAGTTCACTGTTAGATTGGCTGACCTTTTAAATCTTGCTCTCGCTTCTTGAAGATGATTCAGACAAGCAGATTGAAAATTGTTGAGTCCACTAAAACATGTTGATCTCCATTCTATATATATAAATGAAAATTATATAAAGATTATAATTTATTATATAAACTAATTTAATATATTAATAATAAATTATAATATTAATTTTAAACATTAATAAAATATTAATATAAATTAATTAATATAGTAATAGGCTTGATATTATGAAAAGGGGTGATCTTCGACTATCATTGACATTGATGGAGCTGAATATAATAAAAAAACTTGCAAAGCAGCATCAACCACAGTAAATCTGCACTTTTTTAATTTATTAATTACTCACATATTTTAAAATGGTTTATTATGAGTTATTTTACTCATGTACATAAATATTCCATAGAATTTAGTTGTTAAATACAAGTTTATTTTCATTAAATTAGTTTTACTTCAAAATAAAGCAAATACATTTACTATTTCTATAATACAATTCCTAAACTTATCTATTCGTAAAAAATAAAATAAAATTTTTTGTATTCATTAAATGGCTATAAGAGTACGCCAAAATAAATTAAGAGTAAATGTGGTCCATGGGTAAAAAAAGGTTGAAAATCACTGGTTTATGTCTTTTTGGTTCAAAAAAATGGTTGTCAAGATATCAGCTGAATTGGATCATTCTTACAAAATATATGCATATAGTAACATTCACCATCACCAATGTTATTCAGTTGATTCTTATAAACAGAGGAATTCCACAAATCCTCTGCCCAGAAGGAAACAAACACTGTGATAAAATTAGATACTTCGAAAGATTAGCTAAAAAATGCCTAAAACTAAATAAAAACAAAAGTTTTAGCGTCCAAATTTTTATTATTATTAAAAGGAAAGACCAAAGAATTTTTTTAATTATTAAATTATATTTTTTAATCTTGTTTAGAACCTTAAAAATTTTGGTTAAAAAAATTTGTTTTTCTTGAGCCAACAGGTTACCATAAATTAGCATGGGAAGTTTGGGCATCTTTCTGTGATGAAAAACATTGATTTGGTAATTCTTGCAAAAATTGAATAATTGTTGGATTTTAACAAAACTTTCAGAACTTATTAACAAATGTAATATCTATCCTTTTGACACTCTATTTGTGGGCACAAAATTTGCCTTATAATTGATGCTTGTTTCTGTTTCATTCACTCCCTCTCTCTCTTGCTCTTTCCCTCTCTCTCTACATATATATATAATTATTTATTTAAAAATATGATTCCTTTGCTACATAAGAGTTCTCATGTTTCAAAACATATAATTATTTGAATTAAATTGAATTAAAGTACCAAGCTCTGTTCCATCTTCATACGAAATGTTTTTTTTTTAAATAATTATATTCAGATTTTCGGCTCTTGTCTTGAAACATGAAAACTCTTATGTAGCGATGGAATCATATTTTTAAATAAATATTTATATTTATACTACTTTTGTATCGAGCAGTGTTTTTTAAAAATAATAACAAAAATACTAAAGAACTTTGGATTATTTACCTAACAAGTTCTTTCCTATTTTCTATATATTTTTACACACACACACACACACACACACGTGTGTGTATGTATGATTCATTAAAATATAATCCTTTCATTAAAAATATTATTTAGCCTGAAGTATTCCTTTTGGAGGATGTAACATATCACAGAAATTTTTTTCCATAGTCATTCAACGACTTCAATAAAAACAGTATATATGCATGTTTGATAAATATGTTGATGACCCAGTAATGAAGTAAAAACTTTCTTTATTTTATCTTCTTTTCCTTTTCCTTTTTCTTTCTTCTTCTTCTAGCTCCAAACTCATGTATCATTTCTTCATGAGGAATTCATGAAATTGCCAACATTTCCACGGAAGGCTCTGGAAGCTGAATTTAGTTTGTACTGTGGAAATTGGGGCAAGGTTAGTATTCTAAATATTTTTAATTCAATACAGATAAAAAAAAAATCAGCTGTTGTTATATATGATATTTTCAAGATACATTCTTCATTTTCTTTATTTTTATTGATGTATTATCTAGAGGATCAAATAAAAGTATTGTTTTTTATTCCTTCCAGGAACTTTATGGAATGGACACTCTCCATAAATACTCATGGGTAAAAGTAAGTATAACTTCATAATATATTTGATAATTCAATATTTTAATTGTATTAATGTTTAATGGGATAGCAATATATAATTTTTTTATATATCAAGAACAATTTTAGGAAAAGAAGAATGACAGAATGGATAAAGTTTTTGTGTAATGTGTTTCGTCCTTCAAGACTTCATTGGACTAAGTTTGTGTTTCTGTTGATGTGGCTACATATGCACATGAATGAGAGAGAGATACTGAGAATTTTAAATTAAAAATATTTCTTTTTTCTTTTTAATGTGTTTTGATTACATAATCTTAGCTGATTTCATTCAGATTCTTTTCCTTCTTGTTTGTTTCCATCACTTTTGTTATTAAATATTCCAGATTGTGCTAATAGAAGATCTGTCAAGAAGGGTGAAACATAAGAGCCTTGATGCAAATTTACTATGGATGATCTTGCAATTAAAGCACTTTCTAAACATTTTTGTCTTAGTAAATTGTTAGAGTAGCATTTTTTAAATCAAAATTGTGGTCAGTAGTATATTCCTTGAATAGAATCAAAAAGAGACAATTGAAATTTGTAAGACTCATAATGAGGAAAGAGAGTTTAAAAAATTTGACACTCACAGGACATATTGAAGATAAGAGGGACAAAGGAAAGCAGCTCATAACCTGCTTAATGATCTTTTGTAACAAAGACAATATTTAGATATTTGTGCATAAATTTATTCAACCACATATGTACCATTGGGTCGGTCAGTATGCACTTGCACTCAGTGGAAATGGGCAAGCAATAACTGAACAGTACTAAAATAATGATGGGCAGATGGCTGAGTGGTTAGAACATTTGCTTTCTGACCATGAGACCTGGGTTTTCACTAAGATTGATTAGTCAGAAAGGTGACTTCTTGATGTTATCAGACTGGAAAAGGTGATCTCAGCATGCAGTACCTTTGTGCCTAAAAACCATACCATGGGTTGACCTAAACCTTGTGAGTGAAATTGGGTAGACAGAACCTTTTGGGAAGTCATCAATGGTTGTGCTAGCATGAAGTCACAAGTCATTGTGACTGAGTGTTTGAGTGTGCTGGCCTTGTTCAGACTGTTGATCACACTAGGTAATGCACTCTCTCCCAGAAACTGTAACTAAGGTCTGCTCAGCATAGTTGCAGTATAAACCACAGGTTGTCTCTGTGGATGTTGAACAAACTCAATGTGCCTGAGCAGGCATCTTCAACAGGGATTAGCTAGTCGCCCTAGTAGACAGACATCCTTGGATATGAATGGCCATCAATCCATCCACTAAAATAAAGATAAGAACTCAACAATATTCCTAGATATGAGCAGTGGAATGATAACAGTTTACTCCTGTAGATTAAATAAAGGATTCAGTTCAGAATTCCTTGCAGGTTACCCTGATTGATATACACCTGTGGAAGGCACAGTGGCCGAAACATTAGGATAACAACAACCAAGATGAGGACAATAGTCTGAATATAAATGTTATATTCCGTGCTAATAGGAATATATACTTGAAAACATGGTGGATAAAATAAGTAAAGGTTTATTGTAAAAACCAATACAATAAGAATAAAGATAACAGTTATGCACAAGTCAGTCCAGTAGTGAGTGCTACTATTGGAAAGTCAGTAGTTCTCGTATAAGTCTGAGTTGTACTCAACAGATCCCAGCTAGTATATTTAGCTACCCCCCCCCCCGCGAGGGCTGCATGTGGCACAAGGCTGGTTTAACGTGGGTTCTCCGAGCCCATAGGTTCAGCCAAAAATATTTCCTTTCAAACCCGTATAAATGGTTTCAGGGTCAGTCTACCTCCCCGAATGAAACTCTGCCCTTCAGAGGATCCTCGTCTGGGTTCCTCTCTGCCCGAAGGCAGAGAGTAGACTGTTTAGCTGGAACAGATACCAGCTAGACTCTGTTGACTTACAGATACTTATAGGTAGCTACTACCTATAGTGTAGTCACTTATGGGGGTGACAGGTTATTCCATTACATCAATAAATAGTGTAAATAATGATAATTCTTCATCCCAAAAATTCATACTGTTAAAAGAGTATCTTGCTCAATCAACAAAGTAACAGCACTTCACTAAACAACAGAAAAATGTTCACTGAGGATAAATTTAAAAAATATTAAATACTGCCTAATGGTTAAATCTACTTTGGCAGGAAGGGAATAAGCTACTGCCATTGCTTAAAACAAATCTATTAAGCTGAGGAGTAGGGGCCTAATTTCCATTTCACTGAAGCAGACATAAAACACATGAGCATTATCACATCCGCTACCTTTTTTTTCCTTTCTTTAAATGCCACATCTTTGAAAATGCTATGAAGTTTTGTTCCAGCCCAAGCCAAATTGAATTGCAGACTTTTGCAAGTATGTATGAAAATAGTCTATGTATTTGTTTGTTATATGATTAACATATTGGCAATTTTTTCCTTTAGATTTAAATTTCTTGTAACTCATCAAATATGTTTCATGGCTTCCTTCTTTTTTGCTTTTCAGTTAATTGATACAATGTTCACAAGAATGAATAAGACTTTCAACTGGTCAAATGATCTTCCATTATTTTTAAATGTTCTTAATGGTACCATTGTACTCCATTGTGAAGATACAGCTGTACTTAGATTCTGTTTGGCGATACTCATCAACACTTCAAAACATTTCAAACATATTTTCTCCACAAGTGGGTCAGTAGACTTAAAGCTTTTATTATTATTATTATTATTATTATTATACTGTTTTTTGTTTGTTTTATTGTTTAATACCATATCATTTCCATGTAAAATTATATTTTTTTTTATTTCTAATATTATTAACTACTAAAATTAATTTTTTTAAAACCTGTTTTCAGCCTCACATTTGCCTTTATGTTTTCCTTGCTTCTAAGTCAGACGTTCTTTCATAATATCTGGATATGTTTCAGATATCGCTGAACTTTAAGAAATTTCTTAATATCAAATGTTTGTGCAGTAGAAACACCTCCCACATAATGGTAAGACATTAGGTAGATGAAGACACAATTGCCACCAATACCTTACCTTTATATGGGAGGTATTTCTGCCACAGCCTGTATTTTTAATTTACATTATATGTAATGAATTTTTAAACAGTTTAATTATTGTATACAGGCCTGGGTGTTTGAGAGCCTTGAAAAAAACGTGCCCTTTGACAGGGTTTGAAACTATATTCCACTTACGTAGAAAAAAACCACTGTATAGCCCAGCATGCTTTTAAACCCCACCATGAACAACTTTCATGGCAAAGCAAGAATTTTATATCAAATCATAGATAAAAATCCATTAATTCTTTAGAAATTACTTTGTTCATGTTTTGAATATGAAAATAAAAGTTAGCAGAAATAGATTGAAGGAACTTAAAGATCTTAACAAAAGATGTGCTTTCCTTCATAAGAATAATTTAACCTTGCTTTACCATGAAAGTCCTTTGTTGCTATGGTGACAAAATTAAAAACTAAGTCTTGTCTCAGAAAAGAATTTGTGTTCTCTTTCTACGTGTTGAAAAAGGAAATCAGAATCAAGAACAGGTCAACTTCAGTAGACCTTGGAATATGGTAATTGCTTGCACTTCCCTACCAGTCTCCACCAATCACAATCTTCCTTACCCCAATAAAAGAACGTTACTTTGAACAACAGGGGAGAGTCTGTTAGTCCTTTGGGACTGAGGTTTCTCTGATCACCTCTCAGTTGCATCTCTGTCTTCGGACAGAGCACAACTTAATTATGTCTCTGTCTGTGGATATAAAACAACTGAAATATTATTGAGACGTGCCCAGTCTTGGGGAACAGATGCCTGTGGCAGTACCTCCCTCATTGCACTAAAGAGCAGGGTCAGTAGTAATACCAATGTCAGCGCAACCAAAGGTTGCATTTGCTGGGCAATTTTTGGCCCCAACGCAAATGCACACACTCAGGACCCCCACATTAAAACCGACCTTCTGTCACATCCTGTCAGCATGGGGCAACTAGTAAATACTGAAACACTTAGCTCTTCATGGATGAAGAGGGTAGTTGTGTGTTACAAGTTGTGGATACAGATTCTTGACCTCTTTTAATTTACACTCCCAGCATTTTTTGATGTTGGACTTACCAAACTGATTTATGAATTTTGGAATTACGACTCTGGACTTATGATTTTTGAATATGAACCACCCTATTACTATTTTCTCATAGTAGCTGAGCAATATACAGTGGTTTACCCTACATAAGGCAAATGCAGGTTCAAACCTTGCTAAATGGCATATTTATTAAATATTCTTGGAAACTCCAGGCCAGTAGACGAAAAGTTATATTTCTATTCCCAGTCTCTATTTTACTAATAAAGAACTGACAATATTTAAAATTTTATTTATTATTGATTATCTAGAAAGTCACATGAGCTTTTAATTACAATGATTTTTATTGATTATATTCTATTTATTGCAGGTTCTTGCATGTTATGCCAACACTGCTAAGGGTTTATAGCAACAACCAGCCAAACACAGTTCTGTGTAAAAGTATAGAATTCACATGCAGACAGTTTTACATTCTTCATAGAAAACCTTTCATTCTTCAGGTAATAGTTGAAAATTATTCAAATCTAAAAATATTATTAAAAATATTAATCTATTAACTTTTATCCATTAAAATATTAATTCATTAACTTTTATCCATTAAAATATTAATTCATTAACTTTAATCCATTAAAATATTAATCAATTAGCTACAATGTAGTAAAGTATTAATCTGTTAATCCAAATTATAGGAAATTCCTTCGTAGCTATTCTATTGCTCAAATGCAAATGATAGAAATTTCTTCTGGAGTTAATGATAATTTTTGAGATTAGGACTTATTATTCTTTGCTATTTGGGTCAGCCTGCTGATCTTGGTGGCTATACTAACAACATTTTAGCTCACATACTTAGGATCAAAAAGAGATGCTTGCTTGATTGATTTGTTTTTTACAGGTTATCAGCCTTTTGAAGGTTATTTAAAGCTAGAATTAGATTTTACTCCTGTGTCTGGGGTTATTGGCCCTCGTTCGATGGTGTTCCTTTGGAGGTTGGTATGATGGCATTTCAATTAAGGGATGAGCCTGGCGAAATGGAGTGGCTCTTGCAGTGTGTCTCACTGGCAATGATATGAGGTAATGCTTCCTCCATCATTGTGCTTGGCAGAGGATAACAAAAAAAAAAAATTTTGTTTATAGTTACTTTGTTCAAACTTTTTTCAATAAGCTAGAAAATATTTTTAGATTGTAAGAATATTTTTGGGGGGATAATAATAATTTACTGATACAAGACCTGTTAATTAACCCATAGCTGGGGGGGGATTCATACCTTTCCGAAGAGTATCTGCATGTAAGTGAATATAATCAACCCAACAACAATTGGAACTTGGCTCTCTGATTTCCAACTCTGAGCCATTATTCATTACGCCACCTGCACATCCAGGATTACAACACCTGGTATTCCCAAGTGATCACTCCTTACTTAACTTTGGTGATAGAACAAGAACTAATCACTAGAATTAAGCAATGTTACATCTGGTCAGTAACTAGATGGGTGATCATGTGGGAATACCAGGTGTTGCATGCTTAGATGTGCAGTTGTTGATCAGAGAGACAAGTTGCAATTCTACTTGGGTTCGTTATATCCACTTATGTGCAAGTGCCCTTTGGAAAGGTATGAATTTACCTCTTCTCCCCCAGATATGTTAATTAGTAAAACTTGTATCACTAAATCATTATCTCCAAAAAAAAAAAAAATTCTTACTCTCTAAAAATATTTTATGGCTTTAAATAACCTGTAAAGGGTTGATAAGCCATAAAAAAAAAAACCCAAAAAACAAATCAATCACCAGTCTTATTCACCTTTGTGTCACTTGTCTGTTTTTTTCACCTGGACAAGTGTATGTGACTTTTCAACACTACCAGACCAGGGATTGAACTCATAACTACCACAGAACAAAATGTTTTAACCAATGCTTTAATCCACTAAGCCATGTGTGTTCCAAGTCTTCATTAGGTTTAAGTTTTCAGAATTTCAACTCTGAATTGTCCAAGAGACACATGGCCTAGTGAATTTAAAATGTTGCGAGTAAAACAATCAAGATAAATTTGCTATTCGAAATAGTAAAGCATAAAATAATTAATCTTTTATATTCTCTAATATCTAAGAAAAATTTTTTTCCATCATGGTGTTTAGCATTTAGAAAGATTAAGCAATGTAGCAAAATTACTAATAATTTCCATTAGTAATTTTATTGTTTAATCACTTAATTTTATGAAGGCTGATCAAAAAATTGGTCGATTAACAGGATTTACACTAACTTTCCCTTTTTCTTTCAACAGTAATTTTCAACATGTCTCTACTTCTTCTTGCTGTACTTAAGTTTTGTACTACCAAGAAATTGTTTGTATATTTGCAGAAAAGTTACACCACAATTGAGAATGAAAATCTTAAATTGTTGAAAATATGGGGTTCCTTTCGATAGTAATTTTCAACATGTCTCCACTTCTTCATACTGTGCTTAAGTAATTGATATAACTTTATTTTCATATTTTGACAGATGTTTGGCAGTACAGCACCAATTCTAGATATGGACAGTTCTGTGACAAGAGTATTTGATTGCAATAAGGTAAATGGGATTTCATTTACTCTTAACATTATGTACAATATAGTAAAATTTACATTCTTGGTTCAACTAATATTTTGCTTACACTGATATGCAAATTAGCAAGATTTTAACATCAAAAATACTTTGTTGGGAGCAACAAATGAATGACAAAAATAAACTTTTGTTTACAATATTATACCATTTTAAATTTTATAAATTTTGATAATGATAATCATGTCACAAACTGGTTATTTTGCAAAAAATTATGGATATATATTAATCCTGTGGACTATAAGGCCACAGTTCTCACCATTCTAGGTGCTGCTACTGTGGTTTCTGCAGTGATGTGCAGAGATTTGGTGATACCTGGGGCCAAATTCTTGATTGTATGTCCCTAAGATTCAAGTGGGGTGGGGGCTATAGGGCCTTGTACTGAGAAATGTGAGAAAAACAGATGAAACCTGAAATAAACACTTTATTCAAATTAAATGTAAACTAAATTTTTATTTCACTTGTTGCATTCTCAAGTTTCTTAATCATTTTGGTTCAGCAATGAAAAGACTCCAAACACAGAGAATGTTAACTATTTTTATTAATCATGTCGACATGTACATTATCTAACTATCCAGTAAGAGTCTCCTTACCCCCACTTCTCACTGGGGAGCTATTTCAGACACAAAAGAGAACACGTCTACATCTCTTGATGGGTACAAAACAACTTGCTGAAATCTTTCTCCTATCTCTTTCTCACACTAGCTCAGCCAATCAAAATCAACTTCTCTATTATGGCTCACATCTGACCCCATATGTCAACCTCTGGAAGTCAGAGCCAAGATACACTTGATTGAATGCCAGGGGCTGTCGCACTCTCTGCCCCCTCGTCTGCATGCTCCTGAGTTTCTGTAACAAGTTCAATTTGCAATTGTCCTATTCTTAGACTGGTTGGCATCAAAAGCTCAGGAGCCTAGTTTGTGCTACTATTTAATCCCTAACTGGGGGAAGAAGAACATAAAGAATATTCAAAGAACATTTATACAAATGTGAACACAACATTATTGGCTGAAAATTGAATTTGACACACCAATCCTACTTTCCATACTAATAACACTATGCTACATTTAAAAATGACTATACCTTTGTAATATTTTTGTGCTGATGTTAAAGTGGCTCATTCTTTATTACTGTTCAATCAAGAATTCTTTTTTAATAATTGATAGTTAAACTTGTAGATTTTTAAAAAGATCAAAATTAAATCATAATGTTTTTCTTGATTTTTTTTTTTCTTTTTTGTACACAAATTTTTATAATGTAATTTTCTGTCTATAAATATCTTTAAAATTTTTATTTTTTTTCAACAGGTTCAGCCTGATGCACTGTTCAAATTGTTGATAAAAATTGGTGGCCATTGTCCTGATAATTATGATATTTTAGATTTGGTGACTGGAGAAAAACCCTTAAAAGCTCTTGTAAGTTTCTAGTAAAATGTATGAACATGTGTGTGTTGGAAGAAATAATTTTTTTACTAGTTTCTTATCGGTTCACATTGTACTTAATATACTGTGTGTAGGCCAAAATAAATTTACCAAAAACAAGGTAGAACAATATTTTTTAAAAATATTAACTCTATGAATGTTTTGTACAATGTATAGTGGACCGTGGCTGTAATGTTGTTGAGTAGAAGAAACATGTGGGTTCAGATTTTCCTGCTAGCTGGTCCAACTACACAAGAAAGTTGGACTTTTAATTAAGTCCAAAGAATGCAAAGAAAACAAACAAAACACAAGACCGATAATATATGTATACAAATATATATATTAATAACAGGTTACATGGAAACAGTTACAAAAGGACAAAGTGTGTGTGAATATTATATATGTGTGTTTGTGTGTGTGTGTATTGTGCTTAGCGTGTTCCCAGCATTTTGGGAAATGCTATCTCTGGTGAACATTCACATTTTTGAGGTGGTAAAGCTGGAAGCCTGAGGAAAAGGAGAGATTTACCTCAAGGTGTTGGCACAAAGGCCTGAGGGGAAAAAAAGAAAGAAGCGAAGGGTCAGCGGCCATTTATAGCCAGGAAAGAGAGACCCCCGGTGAAAGGGTTAATGAACTAAAGGAGGAGTTAACTCCGACAAATGTAATAGAAAATGTGCAGATGTCACAAGTGATTGATGTTGAATTTGATTATAATTTGGATGCTCCAGAAATGTTTGCTTTGTGCTTTAAAAAAATAAAATCAATGTCTTTTGCACCAAAAGTAATGCCTCCTATTCTATTATTCTGGCCCACTATATCAAAGTTAGGTGTAGGCAGTATGGAAGTTTTTCCCCCTCGATATTTATTTGCTTGCCTTTTTGCAATAAGCAGTTGAACAACAATGTGGCAAAATTAAGTCTGACATAAAGGTATGTATGAATCAGAGGCATGTCACTGCAGAAAAAATAAATTGCCCCCGTTGACATTCATCAATGTTTGCTGAATGTTTACAGGAACCAAATAGTGGATGTGAGTGCAATTAGGTGATGAGTAATGTGTTTCAGCAGTGGCAATGATGATACATGTAGCAAGGAATGTTTTGTTGGTGGAAATGCATAGCCAATGGTGGTGAAAAATTGCTGTATCCAACAGTTTTATTGTGCTCTCTGTATCTGCTGTAGTTCCTTGGAAATAAACAGGAAGCATTACTTTCAGAGCCACAATGCATTAGCCAATGGCAGTAACTATGTGGGGAAATAGTCTTTTGTAGCTGAAAACTTGCTCTATCCAATAGTGTTGTTCTGTTCCCTGTATGTGTTGTGGTTCTCATGGAAATAGAAATTATTACTTTAGGAAGGTGTACGCCCTGTGCGAAAGACCCAAATAACTCCCAACATGATACTACTGAGTGGAGGCCGTGGTTGAAGGATGTTAGTTGATCTTAGAACACCTCTGCAATTTCTAGTACACATCATTCAGACAGACACCCTGGCATTGTAGCGTGGTCTGATTCAAAGAAGTGTGTCCTACTAGTAGAATTAATGGTACCATAGGAGGAGAACAGAGAGGAGGTGCACGAGCAAAAGTAAAACCGCTGCAAATCTCTACAATCAGACTGCATTGAAAAGGAGTGGTTATGTCATGTGCTACCTATTGAGGTTGTGTACTGTGAATTCTTTGGACGGGAATCATTTCCTCCTTTTTGAAGGTGTTTATCACTAGCCGGAACCTGAAGTATTGCTTTATGTTGTTTCCAGACCACAGCTGAATAGGCATCAAGTTGGATTTGGTCAAGATCTAAAGTAAATAAAGTTAAATAAAACCATGCTCTCAACACAGTGCTACTTCTGACGTGAAACACATCTGTTTACCTTCCATTGTATGCCATTAATAAATGGTCTCTATGAGCATGTGGTGTATTTTAGCACAACGTTAAAAATTGCAGTTGCAAAAAGAAATTGCAAGAGACTGACACATATACAAAAACAATACCCTGCCTGGTGTCAAAAGCTGTTGGTGGTGCCAGAAGTGGCAGTACCGCCTTAGCCACCAAAACCATGTACCATCCCCCCTCCCCCACAATGAGGTGGCTGTAGAGAAATGGGATGTGAAGTTGAGATACCAAAGAAGAAAGCTCATCAGTATTTATAAAATGGCAGGGATAAGCTACAATTATACTCCAAAGATAAAGAATACATATATTAGAATCCTAGACAAATAATGTTATACAGCCAATAAAATTTGTATTTACAATATAGAAATATTAAAAACTATCCTGAATAAAAATGAATCATTCTCTTTTTTTTTTCTTCTTTTTTTTTCCACAACTTTAAGGACTTCTGTTATGAAAATGATCCAGGAACCTTTGATATTGTTGATGTAATCAATATGTGCGTGACAGTCATCGCTTATTCTCCTGACTCATTTCGTAGTGGTCAGATGTTGGTGAGTACAGACATTTATTTAACTCTTTTTATAAAACGTTTGTGTTCATAAATGCATAAAATACAATATTATATAAGATGGACATAAAATAAAGAAATAAAAAAATGTAAATAAGACACAAGACACATAAAAATAAAAATATATATGCAAATATCACACTGCATCCATTGTGCTGGTATTATAAAACCAGGGAATAAAGACTAAAGGAAAATTTTTCTTTACTAACACATGTCCTTTGATGGATTTTATCAAGGCAAATTTAAAGGTTTTATTTTGCTTATGAACAGAGGTAAAAAAAATAAGTACTTGTCTTGATAAAGTCCATCAGAGGACAAGACATGTTGGTAAAGAAAAGCTCGCCTTTTGTTTTTATTCATATTGTTTTTTTACAGATATATTTTTATTTATATCTGAATCTTTACATGCAGACATTTTTTCTCTTTCTTTGAGCTGACCTATTGGTCTGGTATTTTGCCAAAAATCTTGTTACTCGTATAGTTTATTGTAAAGAGGGAAATCAGATCAGAAATTTTCCCCTACTGCTGGTAACCTAGTACTATTTGAATCATATTATTTTGTGTTATAGTGGAACACACCTATTCTATAGTTAATAGACCCTCCCACCTATAATAAGTAGGAGTAATAAGAGTAACGAGTCAGTTGCTCAGTGGGTTGGTCAGTCAGTCGATGTCGGACGACCGTTAATCAGCGACCACAGCTAGATTTCTCTGCGTCATACCTATTATATGAAGTTCCTAACGTTTTGTACGTCGAACCTATTTTAGGACCAACTTAGTACCAATACAAGCCTCCACGGTGAAATCACTCCCTAACATTTTGATATACTGATAATACATGATTAGCATGGCTCGTTCTTTAAATGAAATATTAAAGTATTTAGATTAAGCTATCATGTCTTTGTATTAATAATTTGAGTTTCCTTGTTAATATTTTATTGATTTGGTGGCTAAGCTGATACATGTGTCAAACTGTACAGAAAACAATTTGTAAATAGCTTAATTTTCAACTGAAGTTCCACATATGCATGCACACACACACACACACACATATATATATATATATATACACACACACACACACACACACACACACACACCTGGCTGAGGAGTTACAACATTCACATTCTGACAATGAGACCTGGGTTTGAATCTCACCATGATCGATTTGTCAGGAATGAGACTTCTTGATGTTATCAAACTGGAGGGGTCGATCCCAGCATGCAGCACCTTTGGAATGAGCCTGAAAACCATAACACGGGTTGACCCAAGCCTTGTGAGTGAAACTGGGTAGACAGAACCCTTGGGGGCCATTGATAGCTGTGCTAGCACAAGGTCAAAAGTCATCATGGCTGAGGGTTTGAGCCTGCTGGCCTTGTTCAAATTGTTATCATGCTAGATAACACACTCTCTCCCAGAAACTGTAACTAAGGTCTGCTCAGCATAGTTGCAGTATAAACTACAAGTGGTCTCTGTGGGTGTTGAACAAACACCTGAGCAAGCATCTGCAATAGGGATTGGTTATCCACCCTAGTAGAGAGTTATCCTCGAATACAAGTGGCCAGCTATATATATATATATATATATATATATATATATATATATATATATATATATATATCTGCAGTTTATGTTAAAATATAAATTATTATAAATAATTACAAAATACTTTTTTAACACAGATCTAAATATAAATATACAAGTTTAAAGAGGACTTGGCAAAGAAATATTTTTCAACTGTTGTACAATAGTCATTACCCTCACCAAATCTCCTTTAACAAGATAAATTTATGTGTATATGAGGGCTGATCAAAAAGTACTGGTGCTGTAAAAAGAAAACTACAACACACATCAATTCAGCATTTCATCTCCTTCAAAGTAGTTCCCTTCTGAATCCACACACTTTATCCAGTGCCATTTCCATTGATGGAATCATTCCTGGAACTCCATTTTTGGAATAGTGAGTACCTGCCTTGTTGCATTCTCTTGGATTTCCTTGACATCTTGAAATTTTATTTCATTCAAGTGAAATTTAATTTTTGGAAAGAGCAAAAAGTTGCAAGGGGTGTGAGACCTGGGGAATATGATGGTTGTCAGACTTGGGGAATGTTATGATTGGCCAAAAACTGCTGCACAAGCCATGATCACTGGTGGGACCTCAGTGAAATGACCACATTCTACACATATTTCTTCCAAGCATTGCTATAAACAATGGAAGTGAATGAGAGCATTATAACTTAGGGTGTATGCATGACAGAGTTCAAGGTCGATCTGTGCCAATTTGCTTCACTTTGTTTACTTTAGCTCCATTAACATAACAGTCCCGATACTTTTTGATCAGACCTTGTACAGTTTGCTTTTTTTTAAAATGTTCATGACGCTATTTTTTGCAGTTTTTCTTCAACCCATCCAATGTGTTTAAATATCTTCAATGACTGTTTCTCCAAGATCTGATTATCCATTATCTGATTTTTTTAAATCCTAAGAGAGACAATCGCTCTTAAAAATTGGAAACCTTAGAATTTTACATTTTATACTTAGAACAACATTTTACAGTTATTTTATATACAGTAGTCATGTTACACATAGTTTTCATTATAAATATGACATATATGACATGATGAAGGGGAAGAAATGGAACAGATTCTCAGTGACTTTACTGAGTGATCCAGGAATATGAAGGGCAGCCCATTTCAGGAAATAAACATAAGAACATCTACACAAATGTCAATGAACCAATCTTCAGAAACACCAACATACAGATTGGCTCAAAATTCAAAAAATATCACCTGAAGACGGCTGGAGCATACACTGGCTGAAACGTGAATGTGACAATAAAGATGAGAACAAAACTCCAAACAATGTAAATAGTGTAAATAATTGCAATACTTCATCTCAGAAATATAGACAATTTGCTTACTTTGTTGAAAAAAACACCTATGGTTGAAGGTGATCTAGCATTTTCTTATACTTAATAACATATTTTTTTTGTTTTTGTTTTAAGACCATCCTTGAAGTGGTTGTGCCAAAATATTTGAAATATCTTATTGAAGCAACCAATCAGAAAGACAGTTTTAGTGCTGCACAAGGAGAGATCCAAGCCATTACCAATATAGCAATTTCCATCAGAGCTCTCATCAACTCATGTGAAACATTTACCAGGTAAAGTAAATCATTTTGTTTTCTTTCAGCTTTTCTTGTTCTCATTTTTTGGTCAATATTTTAATTATCATTATTCAACAAATAAGAAAAATTCCAAGTGTTTTTTTTTATTTCTGAAGAACAATTTTCATCTCTTACTCTTTTCTATATTTTTTCCAACAAAGGCATATTGTTGTTCCTATTGAAGTCTTTTGTATATGTCTCTCCCATTTTGCTTTTGTTGTTTTTACACTTATATAAGTGTTAAAATGCAGACTAAAACTCCCACCTGCACATGTCTACAAAATAAAAGATTAAAATGTCTACATTTCATTATTTTAATTGTAGCAGAAAATACATCTTGAAATTTTCTTGTTAAACATTATTGTTATGAAGTGTGATTCCTTGTATTTTATCTGTCCAGTAGTAGCTGTTTATCTTGTATACTGAGAGTGATATTCAGTCAACCCCCATGAGGGCATCATGTGGCACAAGGCTGGTTTAACATGGGATCTCCGAGCCCGTGGGCTTGGCCAAAAATATGCCCTTTTAAAACCCATATAAATGGGTTCATGGTCGGTTTACCTCCTCGAAAGAGACTTCGGCGTAGCCTCATTCGGGTTCCTCCCCGCCTGAAGGCAGAGAGTTCAGTCAGTCGTCCGAATTCAGACTGAACTCAGACTGACCCACTGAGAGTATACTGAGAGCTGTTCTACTATTATTGCTTGGGTATTTATATAGTCTAATGCCTTAGCTATGCAAATTAGGCAGTCATTTACATATCACTACACTTTCATACTCAGTAACTTGTTGCATCTTAGTGGCTTTATTCCCCTGCTAGAGGTGAAATGATTTAAAAAAACTAGAAAATTGCTGTTCGATCTAATCTTAAAAAATTTAAATGCAACATCATTATCTTCTGTCATTTTGTGTTATGGAGTGTGATTTCTTTCGTATTTTATCATTTCAGCAATAGTTGTTTATCTCACATACCGAGAGCTGCTCTACCCTTACTGCTTGGGCAATTATATAGTCCCTATGCCTTAGCTATGCTAATTAGGCAGTCATTTACATATTGCTACAGTTATTAAAACATGATTATTGAAGAACAACATTTCAGAAATATCCAAAAGAGTAGCTAATTTAAAATATTTAAAAAAATTTAGTAATTAAATAAACAAAAATAAATCTTTAAAAAAAATTAATGATTTTTTTTTTCCCAACCCAAAAGTTTACAGAATTTTTTATTAAGAAAGTAATTAAAAACTGAATGTGTATTGTTGTGTAATGGATATTGGCTTAGAATGAAAAATCACAGACCTGAGTTTGAATTCTAGTTGGGTTTGTGACATTTACTTCTGCACAAATACCCTTGTGAAATCCATCTTTTCTCTCCCCAACAATGGAAACATTGTGATAATAACAACAAAGATGTGGATATTAGTCCAAATGTAAATAATAAGCTTTATCACCTCCTTCCAGTTTTTTTTTTTTTTTGTTCATACAGCTCTAAAGATCATTTCTTCTATTTTTTAATGTTAACTTTGCTCAAATTTTATTCACTAATTTTCCTTGGTCAAATGTTTCATTGTATTTCTAAAACCAGAGAAATGGACACATATTCAGGTTACATAAAAACACAAGAAAAAAAAGAAGTAAAGATTTATGAAAACACTAATTTAAACTTGATATTTAATTTGCTTTTTACAGCTTTTTAACCTTTTTCAGGCTATTTAAAAGTGAAACATATTTTTGGATTGTAAGATTTTGTTTGGAAATAATAATGATTTTCTGATACAAGTTTTACTATTTAACTAATAGCTGAGTGGAGAAGAGGGGGATTCATGCCTTTTCCAAGGCCATTTGTACATAAGTAAATATAACAACTGGAATTGGAACTTGGCTCTCCGATTTCTCATTCTGAGCCTTTATTCATTACACAACCTGCACATCCAAGCTTACAGCACCTGGTATTCCCAGTAGTCACCCATCTAGGTACTGACCAGGTTTAACATTGCTTAATTTTGGTGATCAGATGAGCATCAGTGTTGCCAATGTGATATAGCCATAAGCCTGATATTTTAGTTTTCAGTTGAAAAGAGTTTTTAATTTATTGCAGTTTACAGTTTGGTGACAGATTTCAGATAACAGTTCACAACTATTTTATAAGCTTTATTTTTACAAGTGTCAGATCAGACCAGACCAAAAATGGAATAATGCTACCATATCTGGGCTGGTGCCACTCAGTCCTCTCTCTCTCTTTAGCCTTGACAATTTGAATGGAGAATTGCTGTCATATCTGGGCTGATGCTGCCCACTCTTCAATGTCCAGCATTGACAGAGTTTAAAAATGATTACACAGCCTTGTGGGTTATGAATTATTCTCCACCTTGCAACTCAATTGATGAAATGTTGCTAGCCTCTTACTATTCCATCACTATTACTATGGTAGATGTTCAGACAAGTTACATTCCTTAGTTCCACCAGCACAAACATTCAGAGCTAGGACCCGCTATACAATATTCATGGGAGCAAATCACCCCCATTTCATTCATGTTTTTTTAATAAAGAATAAGTTCCACTTAGACAGCTTCTTGTCCAGAACTGTAACTTTGTTAAAAAAAGAAAACTCCCAAGAGGATGCTTCCCTCATAACTAGTCTTGGTCTCCTCATGTCTTAACCAATATCTATCCTACATGTCCTCATGATGTGCATTTCTAAATTCTTCCTTAGAACAATCTTGCTCAGTAGCCCTCTTACAACCCCTTTCTCATAGAAGCAATGTTACAAGCCTATCGCTATTCCCTTGGAAAAAGATCTGGCAAGCCACATCCCTTAGTTCCACCAGTTCAGACCTTTACAGTTAAGACCCACCATGCCATGTATACAGTTGAATCATCCTCATTCCATTTGTATTCCATTAGTAAGAAGGCAGTTCTATTCAAACTGCTTCTTCCCAAGGGCCACTACTTTGTTGAACAGACTCCTGATAAGATGCTGCTATGATGACAACAATCTTAACCACTTCAACTCTTGGATCAACCATTATCTATCCTACATATCCTTATAATCTACAATTCTAATGTCCATAAAACAATCCCATTTAATAAACATCTTCATTGGATATTGGGTCTTGTATTGTGTGAATGATCGAGTTAAAAAAACAAAAAAACAAACAAAAAAAAACAAGAAACCATTGATATTTCACACTTGATAACCTAAGACAATGATTCCCATTTTTTTTTTTCTCTGGATTGAATTTTCAGAATTAAAATTTGCTTGTGCCTCACCAAAGGGAAGTCCAATTGAAAAGGTGCAAGCAGCCCCATGGTAAAGAAGGTCCAGAGAGAAGGTCAAAGGGAGATAACTGCAGATTCAAAGTCATAACATTATCAGTGATAACTCTCTCCTCCAATTTGCAGACCCTAATTAATATATTCTTAATATTTGATATAATTCAAAAATATCACAATATTGAAATCTGTCTATAATTATTTATAACTATTTATACTGGGACTCATGCATACAATTACAAGCAATCCATAATATTTCAAATTTTGAAATTATATTTATTTTGGGCATAGGAATTTTTGAAACTGTTTCTAAATCTTTGATTGTCTTTCAATCATTCACCTTCTATCCTCTTCCACGTCACCTATGAGGCGTACTGCACCATTTGGGAACCACTAACATAGGAAATCAATTCAGAAATTGTATCAATTTTTTAAGTGTTTGTTTGCACCTATTTCCTTCATTTTAAGACTTAATGAGGAATTTCTCTCTCTTGTCACCAGAAATAGAATTCTTACCCAACGCCATATGGATGCTGTCAATGCCAACATGAAGCCCACACAAAACCACACAAATTACTCCACTCAGACATCAGGATATTACTATGATGATAAGGAAGAGTCACATGCCAGGTAAGATTGCAAGAAAAGATTTTTCATACTTAATGTTTTCATTACACCATCCTTATAAGAAACAAACATAAAAATAGGATTTAATGATACTGTCATTCTGACTGGAATAAAATAGATTGTTTTATAGATTCTGCTAAGTAGACTGTTGTAAACTAGGGAAGGTTTCTGAATAGAATAATCAAATGAAGGTTGAAAATGAATGATAATACTTAGGACAAGAACAACACATATAAGATTCACCAGCAGCACATAGAAGAAGTAGTCAACTGCGAGAAGTGAGTCAAGTGAATTCCACAATGAATCTCCAACTGCAGACCAACATACAGTATTTACTACTGTATTTATGCTACAACAGGAAGGTTACTGAATAGAATAATCACATGGAGGTTGGTAATGAACGATAATATTTAGGACACAAAAAAACACATAAGATTCGCCAGCAGCCCGTAGATGTAGTCAACTGCTAGAAGTGAGTCAAGTGAATTCCACAATGTATCTCCAACTACAGGATATCTACCAACCACCCCATGTGGTCAGATGTGGTACAAGGTTGAATTTAATGTGGGGTGTCCAAGGCCATAGACTCGGCCAAAAATTTCCCGTATAAAATGGGGTCAGGTAGCTGTTTTCTGAGACGAGACTCTGCTCTTCAACATAGCTTCAGTTTAGTTAAACATTGGCCAGTATCATTAGTAATAATTATCTTGGAACATGTATTATGATCAATTAGTCAGTTCTAAGTTAAGCCATAAGTTCCTCTATTTGATTGATAAACATTTTCCTATAAGTAGCCCTCTTGGTAAAATATTTAGGAGAAACACATTAAAACTAAGTTATAGCTGCACTAATAATCTTGAGAAGATTATAAAGTTACACAATAATAAAATTTTAAACCAATTTAATAATCTGGATCATAATACACATTCCAAGATAAATATTATTAATGACATTTATCTTATGGTTTCATCAGACTGGGCTTTGTTGACGTTGCCACATCTACACATGCACACGAAATGAGAGCCATAGGTAGTTTCAACATTTTTGAAAGAATATTTTTGAGAGAATTTTTTTATATATATATATATATATATATAGTTTTATGGTATGCTATATTCATGAGTTAAAGTGCTCAATATTAAGGATATGTAAATATGAAAGTGAACATTAAGGTCAACACCAAGCAACAACAGTCTGTTTCATGCTTAAATGTGATTATCATGGCTTGATGATTGTGTTTAAGCATGAAACAGACTGTCATCACTGAGTGTTGAGATCAATGTCCAGTTATATATATAAGTGTGTACAGGGTGTCCAATAATGATAGGATACAGCAAGTATCTAGGATTATCTAAATATAAAAAATATATTTGTTACATGACTGATACAAAAGAATTTAACATATAAAGAATTTTGTTATTTCCTACAGGTGTCTGATATCTCTTTTGCTGGTGGAACCTCATAATGTCTGTGTTTGAAATGAGAAAATGAGCTAGTGTACATTCTCTTTAAAGTGGTGACCATCTTGTGGGTGTATTATACAAATCTTAGATAATGTTGAACACTTATATCAGTTATGTAATAAATATATTTGTCATTTTTAGAATCCAAGGTACTTACATTTAAAATGTATCCCATCATTAAGGGAAACCCTGTGTGTGTGTGTGTGTGTGTGTGTGTGTGTATATATATGTGTGTGTGAAAAGTGTATATAAATATAAATAAATATATATATGTATAATTATTTATATATTATATGCGGGTACTTATTAGAAAGCGCTCAATATCAGAAATAGATCTCACATCTATCCAACCAAATATATATATATATATATATATATATATATATATATATATATATATGTTGTATCCTTAAAGAAGGTTACAAACAGACAAAGGTGTTACTCAAGTGAAAGGAACAGCAACACAGGCATAGATAAAACAAAGAAGGGTTTATTGTAAAACAGAATACACTACTGAAAGACAGGGAATCGGTTAGCAGGCTAGTAATTCCCGAAGCAAGTCCACTAGGTATATCCTGTGCACACACTATATATATTTACCAATATAGTCAGTCCACAATAGGTGATAGGAAGAGTGGGACATTCCATTACAACAACTTCAGGATATTAAATCAAAAACATGTATAAAATTGCTACAAAATTGCAATCATTCACAGTAATTTACAATCGTCTGACAAGACACATTGATACATATTGAAACATGATTGCTATTCTGTACCAATTTTATACATGTTTTTGATTTAATATCCTAAAATAAATGATATTTTGCTCTACTCTGTATTAAGACCTCTTTTAAATTAAATGTTACAAGCATTGGAATTGTATTCTATTCTTTCCCATCATACCTGTGGATTTAAGCTTCAAGGTAGGACATCTAACGTAGGCCTGTTTAACAGGTGTAATATTGGAGGAATCAAGACTTTTATCATACAGTCTCAGTTACGGTGGACTGGTCATGTTTTGAGAATGTCTGATGACAGGATACCCAAGATCCTAATGTACAGCCAGATCAAGGCTACAGGAATGTAGGACGCCCATGGCTAAGATAAAAAGACAAGCTGAAAAGCAACTTGTCAGCAGTCAATATACCACATAACACCCTTGAGCGCTTAGCCTTGGAGCAGGTAGAATGGGGATCAATGTGTTTTAGTAGACTCAGCAATTTTCAATCTGCTTTTCTGAATCATCAAGATCTAAAAGGTCAGCCAATTTAACAGTGATCTCATCTCACAATCCTCACTTGCTCCATATGTAGCCTTCTTTGTAAATCACTAGCGAGTCTTAAATGCCACTTAAGATTATCGCACAAACTTTCATAACTGAATTGATAAGCTGTCAGATCCTCATACGTTGAAACCGACGGGAGAGTCCATTATTTTATATATATATATATATATATATATATATATATTCACAAGCTTAAAAGCCACCTTATTGAGCAGCATGTAAGCTTTATACAAGCTGTTTGGTTTTGTCTTTTTTTTAATCATTTCACCCCATGCAAAGCAATAAAGCCACTAGGACAACAAGGGGTTACTGAGTGGGAAAGAATAAGAAAAAAAGAGAAACATTATAAGGAAGCGACAACAATAGAGGAGTAATCAAGAAGACAGTACATAATGATTGACATTGTATTTAGATTTTTGAAGATCAAAATTGGCTGGAAAGCAAGAAATTGGAAGAGAATTCCACAATCGAGAAGTGCATGAAAAGAAACTGTTACAATTACATCTAGCCATTTTGATTGTAAATTGATGAGGCCTTGCTACCACTCTAGTACTGCACTTAAATTCATAAAATCTAGGTAACATAGTGAAGAGTTCACTCATACAAATACCATGAAAGTATTTATAGAAAATGCAGAATGAAGCTACATTACGGTGGTGGGAACTGACTGAAGCCAAGACACCAGGTCAGTACCAATAACATTGCGGATTCTTGTTTGGATTTTATCAAGAATCTCTAAATATACAGCAGCGGCATTAACTTTTACTAAGTTTTTACTTTCATACCTGGAAAAATGTAATAGAATTTGTAATATTTTTCCATTGAACAACAAAAATGTTTTGGTTTAGAAAATTTATGAAGCTGTTGTGGTTTCACTGTAAAAAGGATAATTTTAAATTTTGTTTGAGAGTTCATAATTTTTTTTTCTAATAAATCACTGAAGATAATTGTTGAAGAATCCAGTAGCTTTTATATTTAAATTAATTTATTCAACACTGATAAAAATAAATTGTTTTTTTTTTAATACAACTAATTTCTTAATTTTGATTTCATCTTAATTTTCATGCTTCTTATCAAAATTTGACACTTTAAGTCTTAAGACAATCTATTGTCAGACCCTAGATGCTAGTGTTAATAAAATTGCAAAGAGCTTTACCAAATAACAAAAAGTGCATCATTTGAAGAAATCAAGCTGTAACAAAAACCAAAATGGGTAGCACATGTGACTAAAAGAGAAAATCGTTATACAATCTGTTTCCACATTACCAAAAACAAAAGGTTTGGAAGGCAACTTCCATCAATATTAGAAAAAGCTTTAAAATTCAGAAGTCTAATTTCTTGAAAAACTGTTTCAATGAAAAGATTTTCATTCCAACTGACACTGACTAGATTTAGGTATCTACAAATTTGTCTAATTCCTATAGTTTAGCAGTTAAAACAGCAAGGTATTCAACAGGCTTCCTTGAGCCAAAAAGAAACATGAGTTCAAATCTTGCCAAAAACTTATCCTTTATTTCCAACCCTGATCACTCGCTTCTCAATTCTGGAAACTGAATGCATGAAAAAAATCACAATAAAAAGAAACTAAAAATAAAAACCTCTTCAAAAATTAATATTTGAGAATACTTTATCTAGTAAAAGACTTGTTACTATTGAAAAAACTAAAATGGTGCTAGTAAAGACCATATAATAATTTTTAAGTTACATTTTTGTCTGCTGCAAAACAATCAAATTATTGTAGCATAACAGTTAAGGTAAGTGGGATATTTACCAGGCTTCCTTGAGTCAAAAGGAGACGTGAGTTCAAATCTTACTAAAAGCTTATCCTTTATTTTCGATCGTTTATAGGCTGTTCACGGCTGTTGATTGACAACCTAAATGAAGTTGGGATCAAAAACAGCTAAAAATTAAGATGAAAATAAATATGGATTAAAAATGAATAAAAAATATTAACAATGCTTCATTTAATGAATAGAAATAATACTGCTATTGGTGTCAATTCAATAAGAACAAATATGGCATTGAGAAATGTGAAATAGAATGATAAGTAAGATTTGTTCTTCTGCAAATCTGTCAAATTCTTGTATCAAAGCAGTTAAAACAGCTTGGCATTCACCAGATTTCCTGAGCCAAAAATAGACCTGAGTTCAAATCTCAGCAAAAGTTTATCTTTTATTTCCAACCCTGCTCTTTCTTCTCATGGCTGTAGATTGACGGCCTGAATAAAGTTGGGATCAGAAGCAGTTAAAAAAAAAAGATGCAACTAAATATGAGTCAAATATCCTATTATAATTGTGCTTGTCCCTTCCTTTGTTATTTTGCATGACCGTTACGCCCTGGCAATACCTTATAAAATAATGGATTATTCTGTTTTGATTGCATGAAAAGACAGGAAAGACGCTATTTGGTTTCAGTGAGAAAATGAAAGAAGGGAAGATACAAGTGGAGAGAGAGAGAGCATCAGATTAAGCTGATAAGAACAGATACTACACTTTGATAAGCAATTGTATTTTTGATAAGGATTGAGAACCAATTGTGACACAAGGTCGAAGTTTAAAGTTGGTTTACCAGCAATACTGTGAGGGAATTGCCCAAGCACTCTTGGCACTTCCCTTTTTTGTTCCTATGATTTGATTGAAGCGTGTTTATTATTGAATCTATATAGATACTTTTATTTCTCTTTCAGTCGAGGTGGTGATGAAGGCCGAAAGAAAGGATACCTTCCAGACGTTGAAGATGTAGATGCAAGACAAGAGTTTCGCAAACCCAGAGACACTTTACTTTTCATTGCTTCAGAGTTTTTCACCAACTGTCATTTCCGATTGCGAGAACTACGTAAGAAACAGGTGGATCCATCAATCCGTCCCCCGGATCGGCCACCAGAGTTATTTGATTTCAAAACTCATAATGTGAGTTTTATATTTAATATATTCTAATAAATATTTTTGTGCATGTGAACTTTAATATATCTGAATATACTTAATTTATGCCATGTTGTTTCAGTCAACTTGTAAATATTTCTTTAAGTATAAGAATTTATTAAACAATGAGAAACTTTAAAGAATTATTATTTTCTCAGTAAAATTTTTAATCATTTTAAAAAATATTTCTGTAACATTTTCTCTGTGTGTGTATATATATATATATATATATATATATATATATATATATATATATATATATAAAAAAAGGAACATAGAAGTTAACACTTAGAAGCGACAGTCTGTTTCATGCGATATGCAATCATCAGGCCACGGGTGGCCTGACGATTCCATATAGCATAAAACTATATTTCTTTATATATATATATATATCGTGTGTGATTGAAAGTAACTCCCTATTTTAAAATACTTATAATTTATTTATTAACTATAATTTTTACAAGAAATGGATATGAGAGGAAAGCATTTAGCATGAGGTTTTATTTAAAATTTGATATGGACACCAGATTTTGCTACCAGTTTCTCGAACCACCCAGTAATTGCGTCAGCTGATTTCACCAGGAACTCTTGTAGTATGGCAGGCATAACTTCTTGTATTCACCCTTCAAGTTCTTCCAAAGTCTTGGTTTGGTATAGTAGACTTGCTCCTTCAACCAATCCTAAAGAAGAAAATCACAGGGTGTTAAGTCAGGACTCCTGGTTGATCACTCATACATAAAATAGGAAGTTTCTTTTCAATCACATTGTATGTATTTTTATATATATATATATAAGTAATAGGTACATGGCTGAGTGGTTGGGCCATTCACATTTTGACTATGAGATTGTAGATATTAACATATTTGTGAGTTGTGTGTATGTGCATGTTCAATATGTAAACAAAGAAAGTGTAGAAGAAACATACAGATACTTGAATTTCTGCTATGGATGTTTATTTCTTTTATGTTGACTGTATTGAAACAAAGTTAAATGTCTCTTGAGTATGTCTGTTTTTCTTTTTGGTTCTGAAATAATTTATGGGAAATAAGTATCTGAACAGGTAAAGCTAGTCCATCTCAAGTCAGCTTCATGCTGATTTGGGTAGCCTGAACCTCTACTTCATGAGTAGGGCTGCTAAAACACATCCAATGATGTCGTTGGTAAGTGGGAAAAGTTCAGCCGTCAGTGAACCAGAAAAACTAACATTCCCCAATAGGAATGCTATTACCAAGTGGTTCACATCTTGAAACCAAAAGGAGAAAGAGAGAGATTCTGTCCTTTCCAAAAGTGGAATCATAAAATCATACATGTAACCAGAAACCCTTTCTGGTTTCTTTATAACTTGCATCATGGGAAAATTAATTTTTAAAATTTTTTTATTTGTTATTATTGTTTTATTTATTGACTTTATTTCATTTTCCCCACAAGACCCAGGTTCTGATCTCACCATTTCAGATTTGTCATAGAGATGACTTCTTGATGTATTCAGTCAAGGGAGGCAATCCCAGTATGCAGCACCATTTAAAAGTGACGGAAAAGTTTGTCATGTGTTAATCCAAGCCTTATGAGTGGAAGTGTTTGGAAGCCATCATTTGTTGTGCCATCATGAAATCACAAGTCATCATGACTGAGGGTCTGAGTTTACTGGCTGTGTTCAAACTGTTGGTCACACCTGAGTGTACACTATCTCCCAGAAAGGTCTGCTTGACATAGTTACACTATAAACCACAGGTGGGTTCTGTGGATGTGGAACAAACACGAATGTAGCCAACATTTGTTGTATTTTGATCCCTCCTCCATTATTTGGTCTGAAGGAATCCTTTTAAAGAATAAAATATGTACTGTGATTGAATGGAATCACGAGGGGGGACATCCTGGTGCGTTAGTGCTCCATTCTGAGGTTCCTGTATGTCTATCATCCAGGCAGGTGATTGGTGATTTCCCATTCTAAATAGAGTATTGTGGAGATGAGAGATCACTTTGTCAGGGTATGTTGTACCATACATACACATGTGACAGGCATGGGAGGAACAAATGATGAAGTGGGTACAGGGAAGAGAATGAAGAAAATACCGAGAGACCGATGTAGAGAGAAGAAACACCCACTCAGAAATTGTGTCCTGAGTTATTAATTTCTTTTGACCACAGTAACATGCAGTTTTTTTTTAAGGTTTTCAGCCATTGCAGTCATCATCAAATCTCCTGAAGAATGGATAATGACTATGATGGTCAAAAGTACTTGAACAAAACAATAATAAAATATGAACTTTGGACAGTTTATCTACAATTTTGAGCACAATACTCAACATTTATTCAAAAGGTGGAAAAAAATAATAAAAAATTAAACAGACATCAAACTTGTTTGGATATGGACACTCTCATCAATTTCAACATATGAGGATCATCACTCAGTTTTTATGTTTGTGTTCTATGTGACACTTCAGTTTCACTAGTGATCTGTATATTGTAACAGCGAGAATCTTGGGACATAGCAACAGGAACAGCTGACACTTTTTGCCATTGTCTTTCATTTCTTAGCTGGTCAATATGACTGATTTCAAAATTTCTGATACCACTCTGGCACAAATATCTCTTTAGCTTAGTATGAGGCACATTAACAGCTGAGAGATGAGTTTTTAGCTTGTTTTATACTTGAGCCACAACCATTGAACATTCCTTTGTCAAGCTGGCTATACATGAGGATCTTAGTTATTATCTTGTTGCTCATCCTTACAACATGACTAGCCCAGCAAAGTTGTAACTACATCAAGGATTCAGTTTCACCAATGTTGCATATTTATATACAAGGTGCGATGGATAAATTGTCATCTAAATTATGCAAAAATGAAGATAACACTGACATCTCATTTTAACAGATATATTCACCAAAATTACACAAAAATATCTTGAAATACTAAAGAGTAAATTTATTCAATAAAATCGCCATTGGCTTCAACCATGCCCTTAGATAACTTTGGAATTTCTTGCAAATCTTCTGGATGGTCTCCTTGTTTAAGTTGGTGAATACTTCTATAATCCTTGCCGTCAGTTCATCTTTGGTGTTAGGAGTTTTGTTGGTCTCCTGCTCAACTGCATCCCACACATGATCATTAAGGGAGTTTCAGTCTGGGGAGTTAGGTGACCAGATGTAAGCAGTGATGGGGTCTCAGAAATTGTCTGACAGCTATGACTGGGTTTTCTGGCTTGTGTGGCATGGTGCAGAGTCCTGTTGCCATGATCTTCCAGCAGTCACTCTCTTGACCCAAGGCAGCACTATCTCCTCATAGCCCTTGATGTAGGCCGCCATGTTGAGTCTGAGGCCCTGTGGGAAGATGAATGGAAGCATAATGTTGGCCATCACTAATGATCACTCTGAACACCTTCATAATCACCATTAGACTCATCCAACTCTTTCTGAATCCTCTGCACTGTCCTCAGATTGACACTCTGAAATGTTTGTATTGGAGCTTCCGGAGTGAATGCCAAGCAGTACAGCATGCTGTTTCCAAATTTCTGGTAGAGTGAATTGCATCATGGTGTTGTTTTCTCATAGACATTGCCCAACTGACCCTACTATAATATGCAATCGACAAAATCAAAAACAATGTGCATGTCTGAAATTAAAAATATAAAATGGCATTAATTTACCCATTGCATCATGTGTGTGTGTGTGTCTCTGTGTGTATATATATATATATATATATATATATATATATATATATATATATATATATATATATATATATATATATCTATCATAGTTTAACATATAATGACACAAGACTTTGTTTTTTAATTTGTGTTTTGGCGGAAGATTTATAGCCTGATGTAGATATTCAAGCTATTTTCAAATTCTGTTCTATTTTTTAGCGTCTTGCTGACATTGCTCACACTTTATTGAAACTGGCTCCAAATGATCCTTATAGCATATCTTGCCCTGGTTTGCAAAGGTGAGTCATCAAGTTTGAATGCTTCAACACGGATCACAGTTAAGACTTTTTTATTCAAATATTTAGTGAGTAAATTTAAAACATCTTACATTTTTTATCTACAGTGAATAAATAAATCTAATGATGTACAGGAATTTCCTGTTTAAGATAATTTTAGCTTGAATTATTTTTATGATGAGGAATAGTCATTGGATTGTTTTTTTTGTTTTTTTTTTCAGGTTATTTTCTCTTGCCTTTTGCTTCTTTCTTGTTATCATGCAATATAATGATTTATTTACGAGTTTATAAAAGAAATGGTAACATGAATTATAGTATTATGGTTTGATTTTAATGCTTATAATATTAAAACTTGCCTGATCCCTGTTCTTCCATTCCAACACCTTCTTTTTCTTCTTCTTCTTCTTCTTCTTTCAATTACCTACTTTGTACTTGTTGAAGAAAGAACAAATAAAACAAATAAAAGAAGGAAAGACTGAAGAAGAAAAAATAAATAAAATAAAATAAATTTGTTGTTGCTCTTCTTGTACAAAAATTCCCAACATTTTTTCTCTTTTTATAAGTTTTTATTTTTTTTTTAATAAATAAATAAATAGATAAAAGATATAAATAAATATTAGGTTGGTGCAAAAATAATTTCGTTTTCTAACATATGTTACTATGTGATAAAACGAAATTATTTTTGCATCAACCTAATAGAAAATAATCATTTTCTTTTCAATTTTTCTGACTGTGACTAAGAGAAAAACAAAAAAATGGGGACAACCATGAAATTAACAGTCATGCAGCAAATTTGATCTTGTGTGGGAATTACATAAAGCACCAAAATCTACACAATTGTCTCTTTCCCCTCCCATGTTGCAAATAATGATGATTTAACATGTATAGCATTATGAAAATTGTTTTCTGCATATATATTTCTTATGAAAATTGTCTTCTGCATATAAAGATACTATTTGGTTTTAGTGAGAAAATGAAAGAAGGGATGATAGAAGTGGAGAGAGAGCATCAGATTAAGTGGATAAAAACAGATGCTACACTTTGATCTTAGTGAAAAGGCCTAGAAGATGAAAGAAAGAAGGGAAGATAGAAGTGGAGAGAGAGCATCAGATTAAGTGGATAAAAACAGATGCTACACTTTGATTTTAGTGAAAGGGCCTAGAAGATGAAAGAAAGAAGGGAAGATAGAAGTGGAGAGAGAGCATCAGATTAAGTGGATAAAACAGATGCTACACTTTGATCTTAGTGAAAGGGCCTAGAAGAAGGGAAGAAAGAAAGAAGGGAAGATAGAAAAGGAGAAGAGAAAATCAGATTAAGTGGATAAAACAGATGCTAAAAACACTTTGATTTTAGTGAAAGGCCTAGAAGATGAAAGAAAGAAGGGAAGATAGAAGTGGAGAGAGAGCATCAGATTAAGTGGATAAAAACAGATGCTACACTTTGATCTTAGTGAAAAGGCCTAGAAGATGAAAGAAAGAAGGGAAGATAGAAGTGGAGAGAGAGCATCAGATTAAGTGGATAAAAACAGATGCTACACTTTGATCTTAGTGAAAGGGCCTAGAAGATGAAAGAAAGAAGGGAAGATAGAAGTGGAGAGAGAGCATCAGATTAAGTGGATAAAAACAGATGCTACACTTTGATCTTAGTGAAAAGGCCTAGAAGATGAAAGAAAGAAGGGAAGATAGAAGTGGAGAGAGATCATCAGATTAAAGAAAGGGATAAAAAAAACAAATGCTACACTTTGATCTTAGTGAAAAGGCCTAGAAGATGAAAGAAAGAAGGGAAGAAGATATCTTAGTGAAAAGGCCTAGAAGATGGAGAGAGAGCATCAGATTAAGTGGATAAAAAACAGATGCTACACTTTGATCTTAGTGAAAAAAGGCCTAGAAGATGAAAGAAAGAAGGGAAGATAGAAGTGGAGAGAGCATCAGATTATAAAACAGATGGATAAAAACAGATGCTACACTTTGATCTTAGTGAAAAGGCCTAGAAGATGAAAGAAAGAAGGGAAGATAGAAGTGGAGAGAGAGCATCAGATTAAGTGGATAAAAACAAATGCTACACTTTGATCTTAGTGAAAAGGCCTAGAAGATGAAAAAGAAAGAAGGGAAGATAGAATAAAACAGATGTGGAGAGAGAAAGAATCAGATTAAGTGGATAAAAACAGATGCTACACTTTGATCTTAGTGAAAGGGCCTAGAAGATGAAAGAAAGAAGGGAAGATAGAAGTGGAGAGAGAGCATCAGATTAAGTGGATAAAAACAGATGCTACACTTTGATCTTAGTGAAAAGGCCTAGAAGATGAAAGAAAGAAGGGAAGATAGAAGTGGAGAGAGAGCATCAGATTAAGTGGATAAAAACAGATGCTACACTTTGATCTTAGTGAAAAGGAAAGAAAAGAAGATAGAAGTAGAAGATGAAAAAAACAGAAAGAAGGGAAGATAGAAGGGAGAGAGAGCATCAGATTAAGTGGATAAAAACAGATGCTACACTTTGATCTTAGTGAAAAGGCCTAGAAGATGAAAGAAAGAAGGGAAGATAGAAGTCAGGAGAGAACAGATGCATCAGATTAAAAAGGCCTGGATAAAAACAAATGCTACACTTTGATCTTAGTGAAAAGGCTACTTTGAAGATGAAAAGGGCCTAGAAAGAAAGAAGAAGATAGAAGTGGAGAGAGAGCATCAGATTAAGTGGATAAAAACAGATGCTACACTTTGATCTTAGTGAAAAGGCCTAGAAGATGAAAGAAAGAAGGGAAGATAGAAGTGGAGAGAGAGCATCAGATTAAGTGGATAAAAACAAATGCTACACTTTGATAAGCAATTGTATTTTTTATAAGGATTGAGAACCAATTGTGACACAAGGTCGAAGTTTAAAGTTGGTTTACCAGCAATACCATGGGGAAATTCCCAAAGCACTCTTGGCACTTCCCTTTAATATATAAAGTTTGTTTATTTATGATGGTGGTAATTGTTGTAGTACTGCTTATCGTCCGGTTCACTCTCCTCTGCTGTCTTTTGAACAGGAATACCTTTTAACCCTTGTTTCTTGTTCAGGGTTGGTTTTCTGGTTCCTTCTAAAGTATTCTCATTCTTTTTCCCTCCCAATAGCCCCTTGCATCTTAGTGGCATTATTGCCTTGCTTGGGGTGAATTTGTTAAAAAAAAAAACAAGTAGTAGTAGTAGTTATAATCATCATCATCATCATCATCATCATCATCATCATCATCATTCTTCTTCATCTTCTATGTGTTGTGTCCCTTATCTACAAATTCCTATCCCTGAAAGTAATGTTTGTCTTTTTACCATAATTCTGACATCCATTTACACAAGCTGATCAGGTCCACTGCCTTGCCTTGTCCCTTTTTATCTTCAGTATGTTTTATGAGTGTCAAATTCTCCAAGCCCTCCTTCCTTGTTATGTGTCCAAAGAATTTCGGCTGTCTCTTTCTGATTTTGAATATAAGTGTCTTTTTTGCTACTATTTTTCTTAAAACTTATTCGTTGCTTACACACTATGTCCGTGGTATTCTCAGCATCCTTCTGTAGAACCACATTCTTGTTTCATCATATAAGAAATAAAAACTGAAAAAATTCTCAACCCAACCAAGAATTCCTTTAAAAATAAATAAAACTGATATTTAATCAGATTTTGGGAAGCTAGTCAGGCTGTGAACTTTTCAGCAAACCCTCATGTTTTAAAACTCAGTTTTTAGAAAATATTTGGGAATTTTGATAAAAATTCTGTGGAATTGTGAACAGTTCTGTTCTTATCCTTCTGATTAATAAAAGACATATGGTGATTTTGATTACAGTTATATGGTCCATGTCCTGCCAATAACTGACTGGTCTCAGGAACAGGTTCGCCCCGCCCTCAACCTTATTCTCCGCAGACTCGATAGGCTTTTCAGCAAAGTCTCAAAAAAAATATTGGTTAGGGTGAGTATTTCATCAAATTTTTATAATCAACTCTGTTTTTTTTTGATAATATCCTATAAAATAAAAAATTTAAAAAAATTACTCTGTTGTACAGGATACAGCAGAGATACCTCCAACATAATGGTAAGACATTAGTGACAGTAGTGTCTTCATCCAGCTAATGTCCTACCAATATATGGCAGGTATTTCTGCCACACCATTCTTGCTTTGTTTTCTCAATCCTGCTTAGTTTTGTTTCCTTATATAATTTTCAACATTTAATAACTGATGCTTATAATCAAGTTTTCCTTTTAGCTGTAAACAAATGAAAAACAGTTAAATCACATTTTTATTCTTGCAAATTGTTTTGAATTTTCATTCAGGAATTATAGAATTTTTTTTTTTACTCCTTTAACTCTAAGCAAGGCAACAGGCCACTAAGATGCATGGGAGTTACTGAGTGGGAAAAAATATGAGAAAAACATTATTAAGGAGTGAGAACAAGAAAAGAACAGAATTTAAAAGAACAGAAGATAATGATTGACATGGCATTTAAATTTTTGAAGATCAAACTTGACTGGAAAGCAAAAAGCTGGAAGTGAGTTCCACAAGCGAGAAGTATGAGAAAAGAAACTGTTTGTATAGAATTTACAGTTACATCTATAGCCATTTCAACTGCAATTTATAGCATTATTATTATTATTATTATTATTTCCTTTGATTTCTGGTGTGTACACATTTCTTTCCGGGTCCCGCTCAGAGACCTAAGGTTAGAAATGGCATCATCACATTTTCCACTGACCAATTAAAAAAAACCCAAAAAACACCTATTTTAAATAGATAAAGCCCTTCATAAGGCATGGGCTGTACTAGTGAGAACAATTTTTTGCATTTCTTTAAGGCATGGGCTTCCAGGAATCCCTTCAATGAGTATACTGGAATCTTTTCCAGCTAGTCTGAGGGCTCCAACTACAACAGGGATTGTTGATGTCCCCATGTGCCATTATTATTATTATTATTACTATCATCATCACTATTATTATAACAGTAACAATAACAACTATAATGTCATGTCATGTCACAAGTCCCATAACCCATTAGGGTTGTACTGACATAATATATACTGCAGCTATAGCAACAGTGGATGTGTCTAGGGTAAGATAGCCTAATAGATCTAATCCTTCTTCAGGCTAGTTTTGAATTCAGAGTTATTCAGAGCCCAATCTACCCTACTATTTAACCTATAGAAGAAAAAAGAAGAGATGGAGTTGTGCCTTTCCAAAAGGTATTTGTGCAAAAGTAAAAGCAATAGACTAGCCCATAATTTGAACTCATTTTGCTGGGGCCATTTTCCATGCCAGTTATCCATACATTCAAACAATAATTATATTGATTTTGAATGCACGAAATAATTAATAGGCATGACTCCAAAGTAAAAATATATGAGTAATGCATTTCAAGAGATTTCTCTGTAAATAATTTCTCTTGTACATAGGTGTCATATAGGAAGAAAATAAGTAACTACCAACACCTAGGTTCAAGCATGACACTCTGGACTTGTGAATATGTTTTCCACCAGGTGTATAAATAGCGGTGACAGGCTACTATCCAGTTGAATTAGTGTGAATTATTATGTGTCAATGATTTGGGTTTTGATTTAAAATTTACCAGACATTAAGCTGGGCCGTGCTACTAACAAGGTATTTACTGAAATGGTTAATTATCTTTGGTTGACTTTTACTTCTTTGTTCTTCTTAAGTATTTATTTGCATTTGTAATTAAATACTGTTTTATCTTAACATTGAAGCCTTGAATTATACTTAATTATTAACGGCCACGATACGTCACAAAAATAGGTTTACTTGACACAATCATATTAACTGCATTGTAGACAAATCTAAAACAAAAATTTAATTTGATTTTTAATTTATTAAAATTAATCTCAAAAAAATTTCTCAGGTAAACCATGTTTTTATTGAAGCAATATTATAGTTTTTTGTTTTTAAACTGATATGTTTTAAACTTTATCGTTCATTCTGTGTTTTGTGTTCATAATATTAATCTTCAGGTGGCATGGTTTCCAGAAAGTAATTTATTTCTATTTTTAAATCTATCAAAAAACTTAACTCTTTTCTTTTAAACATGATTGTGCTTGGGTAATTGAATGACAAAATGAAAATGACTCCTAAGTAACACGTTTCTTTTCCAGAAGGAACTTCTTCAGACTAATAATGATTTTATTGATGGCGTATGTCTATATGGAGATGGGGAGAAATGCAATAAACACTGGTTACAATTTTACACTGAAAATGTTTAAAGATACAGGAATGCTATGTTTTAAATTTTTGATGTCTAGTGTATAACTTATAACATATAACTTAACTGATTCCATTCATGTTGTTATCACTTTTATTTTTATTGCTATTGTTTTTAAATGTCCTGTATAGTAATAGCAGTATTTTGGGGAGGAAAGGACATATGTTGTATGATCTTGTATGTAAATTTACTGTAGAGGCTTCTGAAATTAGTGCACTTTCAATACATTTTTACCTTAATAAATTAATTCCTCTTTTAATCAAAACTGCATTTTTAAATGAAAATATTGTTCAGACGAGCTACAATGAATGACTAATGCATTGAGTGTATTGTTTTGTCAAAGATTCCTTTTGTCTTCATGTAATCATTTTTTTTAATCATTTCACCCCAAACAAAGCAAAATGACCAAAAAGATGCAAGAGATTACTAAGTGTGAAAGAATATAAGAAAAAAACATTATTATTAAAGACAGAGAACAATAAATAAACAGGAATTAAGAAGACATAGCGATTGAAATAGTATTAAAATTTTTAAAGTCACAGTTGACTGGAAAGCAAGAAGCCAGAAGAGAATTCCACTAGCAAGAAAAGCAATAGAAGAGAGCATTAGCATAGAACTTACGGTTATATCTAGCCATGTAAAATGAAGAGACCTAGCTGCCAATCTAGTACTGCACTTAAATTCATAAAGTCTAGGTATCATAGAGGAAAGTAATATTTTGAAAATACAAAAATGTGGCACAAGGTCAAAATGGGGGATGGGGGAAGGCTGGTCTTCAATCTGTCTTAATCTTAGAGCTAGCCATAACCATTACTGACCCAAACATACCACAGTATTCCTTACACCAAACAACATATTCTTACTTACCATTCTTACTACAGTCACCATAATACCTCAAGTCTCTATAAATTCTTAACTAGTTCCCATATGTACAATTTGTCTGTAGAGGAAAGTTCATCAGAACAATTACTATGAAAGTATAATACAGAAAAGACCTACATTATGTCTACTTTTATTTAAATTCTTTGATGTTTCAACTCTCTATTTTGGGTGGCAATTTTTGCAGTCTCTTTTGTAAATAGCTGCTTTAAAATTTTTAATTTATTGAAATTAATTTCACAAGGATTTCTTCAGTAAATGTTGTTTAATTTTGTTATGTTTTGTGCTAATTAAATCTCGTATTGTTTTTCAAATAGTTGTAACAAAATTTATATTAAGTTTAGATGAATTCTTTTCAGTTGTAGTTATTATTGTGTTAGCAGGGAGTATTTTTCATGCCATTGTTCACCCAAGAGGCACTCAAGGTACTGTATTACTGAGTGGAATTCCTGTAAAAGCATATAAGGATAGACTAATAGGTGCATATTATGAGGATATATAGGATAGATAATGGTTAACTCTAGACATGAAGAGGTTAAGATTGTAGTGATCAGGGAAGCATCTTCAGGGGAGTCTATTCCATGGCTTAACAGATCTAAGAAAGTTGAACTTCTTCCTTATTAATTGAATATGAAAGAAACTCTGTATTCTGGCATGGCAGGTCCTAGCTGTAAAGGTCTGGATTGGTAGAATTACAGAAGGTAACTTGTCTGAATATTTGCCATACCATAAAAATAGTGAGAGGTGGGAAAGAGGTTGTAGGGTGGAAAATAATTAATCACCCACAAAGTTTTGTAAATACTTTTGAATTCTTTCAAGACAGTTACAGCCCAAATATACACCTAATTTTATCAAAGTCTGAAGAAGTTCCTTCTGGGGACGAAACATGTTACTGTGAAGTTCTTCTTCCCTTTTGTCATTTGATTACCACCATTAGTCTGTTGGATAAATTTATATACCATGTCTTCCATTTCAGTGCTTCTTTTTAATTCTTAGCACTTGATTAATTTATCAGTCTTCTTGTGATACAAAGACAATTATGATTACCATATCACAGGGGTTCTCAACTGGGGGGGAGGGATCCCATAATTTTATGGTGGAGGGGTCTTTTACTTTTTCACACATTTCCCATTGACTATAATCTTCATCAGAATAAAATAAATTTAAATATCCTGACCTTTTATTGATCTTTTTGTTTATTGAATTACAATATCCTGGCATTTTATTGAACTTTTTTGCTTGCTGAAGTATGCTTCAGTTTATTTGTTTAATAATTAATTGTGAATTAAAACAAATTACTGTACATGTATTCAAGTTTAAAAATCAAACATTTTCTGTTGCTATTAAATTTGTAAAATGCCTCTATAAAAGTAATCCATATAGATGTCTATATAATAATATGGAAAAGAACAAAGATTTTCAATAATATATACATATTATTTGTAATGCACCTTTTGAGTCGGAGAATCTTGGAAAGCAGTGAAGTAACATTCTGACGTATGGTGAAAAAGGTGCATTGGCAAAAAAAAGCTGAGGACCACTAATTTAAACTGTCAGCTACATACAACTGTTTTCTCAGATCAGTGGTTAAAAATGGCTTTGAGCAAGTGAAGAAATATAAGTCTCAGTGAGGCTCATCTTTCTTTGAACCTTGTGGACTGTCGCTGCAGAATCACATATGAAATGGATATCCCATGTAACTCGAAGAGACAATAATGATATAATCAAGATGCTGACATTCCACACTACTTGAAATAAAAGGCAAGGAAGGAAATTCCTTTCCAATCAATAATCAATGGAGCCTATATCTGTAATCTTCATCAGAA